TATAATAAATATATTATAACATGTAATACACTATAATATATAATAATATTCAAATTATAAGATTATATTAATATTTAATTACATTAATTATTATATTACTATTAATATAATAATTACAATATCATATTATAATTATAATATCATATTATTAAAATAATTATAATATTATTATAATATCATATTATATGATAAAAATAATAATATTATAGTTATTAATATAATTATGATATTATTTATTATAATATTATATTATATTATATTACGAGTATGAATTTTAAATTGAGAAGATTGTAAATTTTAAATTTCATTAGGGGTATTATGGATATTATGAAAGTTTCATTAATTATATTATGCTGATTTCCGCACAATCTAAAAGTTAAAATTGTCTTTAGGCTGCTTCTGATTTTGGCTGTAAGTTCTTAAAAAATTCTTCAAAAAGCGCTTTTGAGGAGATTTACTAAATACTAAAATCAGTTTCTGCTACAAGCAGAAGCTGATTTTAGGATGAAAAAATAATACTAAACTAAACCGAAGTCGCTTCAACTTTATAAACCGCGATCTAGACTTTTTTTTTTTTTTTTTTAATACAGCGGTATGAAATAGGGAAAAAAAAGAGAATTAAAACAGTCCGAAAAGGACAACCTGAAAAACTTAAATGGGTAAACAATCATAGCCTTAAAAAAGAAATAAAACTGAAAACGATAGTAGTGTAAAAAATGTTTAACGACAGCAAAATCTGAAATGAAACGACAACAGTCTTTGAAAACGACAGTACCCATTAGAAACGAGATCACAACTTGGAAAAACGGCGATAGCCAAAACGACAATTGAATAAAATCGAACTGGCCATAAGCTAAAGCAACGACATCAAATAGGAGACAATTACAATAAAAAAAACGATATAAATTCACACGACAACAATCTGTAAAACGACATCCGTCAACGTCATTATGTGGGACAACGACAACTCTTTGATGACGAGAAATTAGAAAACTACACCAGCAATGAAAAGTGATGACAAGACTCAAACGACACAGATTTATAGAAGGACCATGAAACGACATGAGCATGCAGTAAGGTAGGAAAACAATAATCACTATCCCCATACTCCTATATAAACCCATCAGCTAGCTCAAGCGGCAAGAGCTTGCCGTTGGGTTCGTCATGTTGACGTCGTTTTGCTCTTATTCCCAGTCGTTTTCCGAGTCCACCATAATATCAACCTTATTTAAGTAGGCACATTATAAAAATAGGCACAACATAACATAAGAAGCTTTCTAAAATTGAATTTATGTCCCAATCATACTTGACGCTCTACCTAACTGCATGATATGCCACGTCCAATGTTGAACCAATATTAAACTTCAAAAGGACCTCCCAACCCATTTCTAAGCAAAAACAAAGTTTTTTTTTTTTTGTTTTTTGTTTTTTTTGTTTTTTCCAAAACACGACGTTGGTCATAAACTTCTCATGAATACGAGATTCTCAAGAAAAAAACATTTTTATAATATTTAATATTTTCAAAATCAGTTACATACATGGTTTGAGAGGCTTCCCACATAACCCTTTGTTACCCTTGTAAGAGGTAGCGGGAAAGTCACTCAAAGGTTTACCCTTTGGGATTTCACCAACAAGAAGATTATCTGACAAGTCCAATTCCTTCAACTTTCTCAGCTCCAAAAACCCATCAGGAATTTCCCCAGTAAACCTGTTCTTCTGCAGCTTCAGTGTGTTTAAGGAGCTAAGACTTGCTATGGCATCAGGCAAGCCAAAACTCAACCTGTTTGAGCTTAAGTCCAAACTCTGCAATGACTTGAATCTCCCTATGGAGTTTGGTAATTTTCCTTGCAGCAAGTTGTTGGACAAGTTGAGAAATCGAATCTCAAAATCTTCTTCTGAGTCTGCTATTTCCTCAATTCCACTTAAAAAGTTGTTGTTAGAGAGATCAATGTATGTCAAATATGACCCCATTTCAAGAACGCGCCTTATTGAGCCGCTTAGATTGTTTGAGTGCAGATCAAGCACACCCAGATACTTCAAATTCGATATCGAATCGGGTATCTCCGAATCGAGCGAATTCCTTGACAGGTTGAGTGAGTAGAGCCGAGAGAGTTTTCCAAGCCAAGTTGGCATTGAGCCAGTGAGATTGTTAGATGACAAGTCCAGTTCCTGAATTGGGCTTGGAGTGTTTTGCAAAAACTCCGGGATTTTGCCTTCGATTCGACAACCAGCCAAGTACAGCCGTGAAAGAAAGGGCAATTCTGCTATCCATTTTGGGATGGAAAACAGTTTAAGAGAATTGAAAGACAAGTCAAGTGTTTGAATGTTTTGGAGGGAAGACATCTGAGGAGGAAGCGGTCCTTCAATGAGATTATTGGAGAGAGTCAACATTATGAGCTTAGAAAGCTGACCAATTGATTCAGGAATTTGGCCTGATAATTGATTCCCATGAAGATATAGCTCTGATAAAGATGACAAATCACCAAAGCTAGAAGGGATTTCTCCTTCAAGCTTATTGTTTTCCAGAGAGAGTCTTTCCATGGACACAAGATTTCCAAAAGTTGGTGGTATTTTCCCAGTGAGATGATTGTTTTGCAGCCTCAAAAAGCCAAGTAGTGGCAATTGGCCAGGACTTGATGGGAAAGGAATTGGACCCTCAAGAGAGTTTTGGTCCAAGTACATGACAGAAATGGAAGTCAAATTACTAATAGAATTTGGAATATTACCACCCAAAAGATTTTCTGAGAGATCAAGCTCTTTCAAGGTCTGCAAATCTCCAATCTTTTCTGGGATATTACCACTAAGAGAATTTGCATGAAGATCCAATTGCACTAAATTGGTCAATTTTGTAACCCCACCAGGAATTACACCAGAAAAATTGTTTGTGTGTAGAAACAATCTCTTGAGATTCTTTAGGCCTCCCAAGCTTGGAGGGATTGACCCAGATAGGTGATTCTCATGAAGTGCAAGTTCTTCAAGTTTGGACAACTTACCAATGCTCTCAGGGATTGGACCAGTGAGAATGTTGCTGTAGAGAATGAGCTTTTGGAGATTTGGAAGGCTTTGACCGATTGATGTTGGGATTGAGCCAGAAAGACCAAACTGCCCTCCAATGTCAAGCACTTGAAGGGATGACAGAAGGGTAAGTGAAGGAGATAATGAGCCTTGCATTTGTGTCTGAAGAACCAAGCCTTCTTGTGTGATGAAACCGGGGAGATTTATTTGTGTGACTCTGCCGGTTGTGTTGTCACAAGAAATGCCTTCCCATTGGCAACAACTGAGACCAGCCCACTTCTCCAAACGACCTGAATTGTCATAAGAAATTCCGGACTTGAAACTTGTCAAGCCTTGAAGGTCATCTGGATTGCAAACTTCACTTAAAATGCTATTTGCCTTTCCAAAAGCCAGGAGGACAGTGAAGACTAAAACCCAAAGGAACTGAAAGGCCATTTTGTTTGAGTGGATGGTTGAGACTTGAGAGTTGAGATTTTTTTTTTTTTTTTTTTTTGGGTGCTTGGGATTTTTGAGAAAGTGAGCCCTTGTTTTCTGGGATTTATATTTTCTGAACTTGACAAGGTAAGTCTATGAGTTTGAGCCAGCCAGCACTTTGAATTTGATGTCCTTAAAAAAAAAAAAAATCAGAAAAAATAAAAAAAGAAAGAAAAGAAAAAGCCATGAGATAGGTTAAACGTGTCAACTGTCAAGTTTGTTTTTCTTCTTTTTTTTTTGTCTTTTTTTGACCTTTACAGATTGTAGTTGCTGAAAAGCATATTTGCGTTAAATCAATGATGGCCCTCAGCACTCGTTACGGTTAGAGGAGTCTCATCAAATTAGGATTTACACGGAATATTTTGCTTTAAAATATTGCAAAAAAATCTTTCCCAACAGTTCATAAATGATTACACTTGTCCTTTTTGTTATGCTGAATTAAAAAAAAAAAATTGTCCTTTAGCTTCAAAAGATCCAAACTACGTAAACTACGTATGCTAGGAAGTAGTGAACAGTAAAACCAGTGATTTTTATTTATTTTTGTAATAGGAAACTGAAATTCTTTAACAGCTCAAAGCATCAGTCAAACAAGGGCCAGTAAATAAAGCCATAGGGGTAGTTGACGAGTTGTTAGAAGGGACCTCTAATTAATTAGGAGGAGGATTTCGTTGAGGACCTAAGTGAGTTTTTTAAGGTGATTCATGTCAAGGTGATTGAGGATGCGTTGTTGGAAAGGAGCTCTAACTGGGAGGTGGGTTTTGTTAAGAACAATGTCGTTGCTCATACTTTAAGGGTTCGTTTAGTTCGCTGATTCGAGTTTTTAATTTGAATTGAGATGTGATTTTATGTGAGAATTTTTTACTGTAATAAAAAAGTTAAATGTGACTGTTTTTGAGAACTTTTTACGGTAACAAAACTCAAATTCTAAATTCAAATCGGTGAAATGAGCGGAACTTAAGCTTATCATGCATCTTATTTGTCTAGAACCAATGTTTCTTTTTTCCTGTAGCACTTTTTTTTTTTTTTTGGTCTAAACAATTTTGTTGGCTCTTTTGGTTGGTTTGCTTTGTGCATGCCGGTTTTTGTTTTTGTTTTTATTTTACTGATGAAACAAATGATTTACTGTCAAAATAAATAAATAGATAAAACATTGAGTCTATAAAGATGCATTCCATATTTAGTACGTGCCAGCAAATACTTCACATAATTTCTTTTTTGAATTAATTATTTTTCGATTTCCATGTTTAAAAAGAACAAACGTATGCCCTGGTTGTGCTACTTTCTAAGACCGATTTAGGCATGTTAATAATGTCCAACCTTATAATGTCAAACTAAAAAAATTGATTCTAATTATTGCGTCGTCGTAAACTTAGTCTAATGATAAATTCATATCCTACTTTGGTACCTTCAATAAGTATAGAGTTCAAATCTCCTAACACTAAATTTAAAACAAAAATATTCTAACCTTTAAAAATTTAGTAAAATGCTCTAAAATACTCAATGTTACGAGTTCACAAATTTTCGAATTCTCACATAAACTATTTCTTTAATTATTTTCTCCCACATTTTGTTTTGTGTACTTCTACTTCTTTTCTGTAATTGTAAAACTGGAGAAAAAAGACCAACTCTCACAAATTTTATTTCTTCGTTCTTTTGTTCTTTCTTTTCCTCTTAAGCGTCTAAATAGAGTATATTACAGTCAAAAAGTAACATTTATATTTAGGTTGAAGAATAAAAATTTTATTCCTTTTCCAAGTTCAAAAACATAAGGGGCGCGTTTGAAATTCGTTTCAAAATGATTTTATTTTTTGTATGAAAATGAAAATGAAAACGTTTTCAATCTCAGACAGAAATCATTTTTAAAAATGCGTTTGGTAGTTTTATCAAGATATTATTTTCAGTATAAAAAAACCCATTAATGTATCTCTTTCTCTCTCTCTGCTCGAGAGAGAGGAGAAAATGAAAACAAAAAATGAAAAACGACTAAAAATCATTTTTCATTTCTTTCTCATTTTACACTAAATCAAAAAATCGTTTTTATTTCTGTTTTTTATTTTTATTGCGTCAAACGCCGTTTTAGAAATGTTTTTATTTTTTTCTCAAAAAACGTAAAAAATAAAAACAGAATCAATTTCAAACACAGCCAAAGAGTTACATTAAATTCATTTATCGAACAACGCACTTCAAATATGATATAAAAATGAAAACATAACGGAAGAAACAAAATGCATGTGAAGTTATAGCTTTATTAAAAGAAGATAAATGTAATAGTCTAATATTCTAATAGATACAAGCAATGTCTCACAATGTGTAATTTTCTAAAGGCAAACAAACTATAATTTGACATGTTACGCTAGTGGGGCAGGGAACGTGCCGTAAAATTGAAAAACTGACAACCTACCACAACCATGAGTTTATAGTAGAGTTCATTAAAAAAATGCTTGGAGGCACGATGGAACTTATATATGAGTCGAAAAATATTTAGAGGCATCATCAATTCGAAAAATATTTAGAGGCGCCATCAATTTTAAATACTAACTGATATAAAGTAGACTCATGTACAGATGTTATATTATGAGATCCACCTTTTATTAATATGTGATGTTAACACATGATAGCCCGGTCATATCTTTCACGTTTAGATAATTACAAATTTACACATTTAAAGAGTTTAAAATAACTCCATATGAATGACCCTTTGGGACTTTTGTTTTTATTTTTTATTTTTTTCTGAGGAATGACACTTTGGGACTTGATATATGTTTGAGATATATCCTTTTGGAGTATTATGTATTCGAGAACATGAGACAAGATCTAATTTCTGCACACAATTTGTGCCATCGTTTTCCTGCTGTTTTACAGAATATCAAACTTGTCTTAGCTTAGCAAAATCCAAGCCATACACAGTACGAGACAGTAAAAAAGTAATTTATTAATTGTCCTTAAGCTGTCTGTTCTTAATGCCTCTAACTGAGCGCCTGACACATGACAGAGTTCATGAAATTGAGCAATGTGAGTTACGTATAATAAAAACGACAAACAGCCCAATGGCAGAATCTCTTTCACGCTTCACCTTTTCAAGCAAGTTTGACTACTTCCACGTTCTCAAATAAATAAATAACTCTCAATGTTCTGACATTTAGAGGGGCTTTCTGAATTTGTTAATGGACTCCAAGAACTTAATTTTCTATTTACTTTGAAGTTTTGGAAGGATCTTGTCCCGAGCTTGGTATGTTTAGTGCATGGTTTTGGAGGTGTTCACCTATAAAAGTTATACCAGTGTGTTTGGAGAGAGTTTTTTAAGCTACACTGGTTTGAGGAGAGAGAGAGAGAGAGAGAGAGAGAGAGAGAGAGATAATGAAATCAAGGATCTGAAAAGCAGATTAAAATCAAGTTTGAGATTGAATTTTCAGCTGACCAATTCAAAAGCAAGCTGGCACTTAGCTATATAGTTTTTTTTTGGTACCTCAATATATAATGATTTCTTGTGATCGATGTACGGTTTTACTCCAAGTTAAGTACTCCCATGAGAGTAGATTGATGATGCAGTGGGGCTGGTAACATCTCTTTATACATCTCCAAAATTCGCTTTCCCAGTTGACATCTTTATTGCTATTTGGGCCACTTCGGCAAACCAATCACCCTCTGGCAAATTCCTGCTCCAAAAAAAAAAAAAATAAATAAATAAGTATAGGTAAAGGTAATTTAGGTCCTGGCAGCAAACTTTTCCTGAAGAAATATAGTATAAATGCTGAAATTTACTGTCAAATTCTATGCTACTAGTGTACTGTTATAAAAAATTTGAGCAAGATAATAACAAAGTTAAACATAGAGGTTGTTATTAAATTATTTCATTCCTAAAATAACATGACCCCGGCCTTAAAAAAATTTCATTTTTATGAAAAATGCTTGAAGCATGTCCAACATCTCAATTAATAAAAAGACGGAGTCTATCTATGAAGTCCATGTTGTGGGACCAATTTACCACTTTCTATCAGTATGTGGTGTTAGACAGCGCCAGTACTCCTAGCATTGTTCTATTCTTATAGGAGCTTAGTAGTTTTTTTGTACCTGTAAGGGTCTATTCCAGAAGCCTCAACTGCCTCAACAGCTCTATCAATAATGTCTCTTATAACTTGATGTAGGCTCCTAGAAAGGTAACGACCTTGGGACGAAAACAGCAACACAAACTCCATATCCAAATAGAACTACAAAAAAGAATCAAATTAGAACAAGCAATTTGGCATGTGATATCATGAATAAGGACTCAATTCCTTTCCTTAAGAGTAGTGGAAATATTTACCTGTTGAAGACCAAGGGGACCTAAAGGCTGTTGTCCTGCCTCTATTTCTTCCCAAAAGTTTTGATCATTAGACAGCCACAGGATCACAGTCTCTAAGAGTCTTACTAACAGAATAGTTGCAAATCTTTCCCTCCCCACAAACACATCTGTCGCAATGCTTGCAATCCGCGTTAATTTAATGAAAAGTGCCTGAAAAAATTAAACATGTTACATGACCTTCCACACTAACTATGTATCCTCAAGATTAACTAAACTACCTGAAAAATTGGAGAAGGAAACCACTCAGGCTCATCTGCATGTAAATCCAATTTGGTGTACATTTGCGCGCTGAGACAAGTATCCCCATCTTCTGTGAAGATGAGATCGAGGGCGTGCTGCCGGCAGAAGCTGTCACGGAGGCGGTCAACAGAGCGCTGAAGACGCCTCTTCCATTCCCTTTGCTCCGGGACACGGCTTTGCCTCTCTGCAGGAGACCTTTTGGGAGTCTCCTGCATTCTGTTGTTAGTCTGCTGCGGGGGCAAAAGCTTTAGAGCTGCACGAGGGAGTATCTCATCTGCTAACAATGATGCATTGGCTAGTAAAGCTATTTGTTGGGCTTCAGTTTCTGCTATCCTCACAATTTTGTTCCCAAAACCTTCCAAATTCTCCTCGTTCTCCGTTGAACCGGGCAATGCATTTATCAGCAAGTTGACATATGAGTTGAACACTTGTACAACACCCTCTAGTGCTATACTTTCCAATTGAAGGCTCTCAAGTGGCCCCACATCATCAAGAAAGTCCTAAACATCAAGGCGTGAAATAAAGTTCAAAGCAGACACACAATTAGTCTTTCTAGCCTTAAACCAAAACTCATTTTTAGAAATAGTTAAATGACTCTGGAGTCGGAAAATTTTTTCAATGGAGGACTAAATTTTCCAATTATATCGAGAGAGACGTGATAGTTATTATATATTTTAATTATTGAGTGATAACATGTTTATAATTTTTCTTATAAAGTGAGAGCGTAACTCAAATTAAATTTTGAAAATTTAAGTGGGGACACGTGTCCCCCTCAGGAATATGTGGCTCCATCACTGAGTCAATAATACTATGTTCTTTGATGCTAAATCATGAGTTGAATTAGTTAATAATTAATTATTTGAATTCTACAATATGTAATGCAATAAATGCTTGGCTACTCAAGTTAGCATTTTTAGTATTAGCTTTTTAATGATAAGGGATAAAAAGAAAAAGGAAAAAGAAAAACTCGAATTCACCTGAACCATTGAATTGAATTTGTGAGCACTGCTTGAAAGCTTTGGCTGAGAAGCATTCAAACTTCCAAGAGAAGAAGTGGAACCAAGAGGGCGAGTACCTACAGGATGAACAAGCGACCAATCATCTGCAGCAGCCAGTGCAGCACTACATTGCTCAATCCTTTTCAAGTTGGCGCTCAACGCCTGCTCAATCAACGGCCTAAAGACCCTCAACAAGACCGAACAAAGTGACAACCCGCGAGCTTCTAACAAGCAACAATGGCCTAAACAAATATGCACACACTCAGCAGCCACTCTCAGACCACCCGAAGCTGCTGAGGAGACCAAGACGTGCCTCTTGAGGTGAAGAGCAAGAGCTTCAGTCTGTTTCACGGCCCAAGTCACGAGCTCAGATGAATACGCAGGCTCTTCTCCGAAAGAACCTAGAGAATCACTGGCTGCTTGTGCAATGGTTGAGAAGACAAGCTTCGAAAGCGCGGTGGTATGAGCTCCTCCACACAAAGTGGTTGGAGAGCGAAGGCTTCGCATGTTGGTCTCCACCTTCTGCTGGTGAGATTTGAGCAGCAATGTATGTGCTCGCGTGCCATCACCAAGCTTTTTTAGGGCTAAAACCGCCGAACGGAGCTCAATTCCGTGAGTCGAAGATTGTGACATCGTTTCAGCAAGTTGGTCTGCCAGTTTCTGCCTCTGCTCAGCTATAGCAACTTGTAGTGATTCTAATGCTGATGGGTTTAAATTTTGCCTCCGATTGGCCTCTTCCACCATCTTTTCACCTTCATCCAATGCGGTTAAAGCCTCTTCTACTCTTTTCTCTGCCAAAAGGACTTCAAGGGTGTTGAGAAACTCTACCAACCAATTCTCTGTCTTGGAGAGTTCTCTGTTGTCGTCAGAATACGAGTCCTCTGAAGCTGAATCTTCATGGTCATTTGATAGCGAATCAAGACGAACTCCTTCAGCTAAACTATGAACGAAAGCCGCCTGACTTGATAGGAGATTTCTCATGGAAAGAAGCTGTCCTTCGAGCTCCGAAATTTCCTTTGATGTTCTATAAATGAAACACAAACACACATTATTGTGTTGTTTGGATTTTAACATCACTACTAGCATAGTACTATTTCATTCATTTACAAAGATTTGTAGATTATTATTTGAAACTCATTTTACATACTTTATGAGAAGAATTTGAGCTCACCGAATGAAGGCGGAATAATTAGCATACACACTTTTACGCATTTCCTCAGCAGACGCCTTCTTCAGCTCGACCAGGTAAGAGCACAAGTGCCTTATCTCCTGTCAATCAACACAAAGAATGACTGTCAATCCTTTGTTTTCAAGCAAATTTTCATCTATAATTGTATGAGTTCTATGCTATAAAAACTATGAATACTGAGACGTTAAAAGGCAATGAAAATTGTTGTTAGACACAGTTTTTAACCGTCAAAAATTCATCAAATTCTATTGACTTGTCGTATTTTTCTTAATTTAAAATAACTCAGATATGATACAAGTACGTTCTAAGAACAGAGTATTTTTAATATCCTACTTCGGAATTATTAGAAAAAAAAAATGGTGAAATTAAAGATTAAAGAAACCTTCTCGTTCATGTTTCGACATTTGGAGGTAACGTAGGCTTCAGGATCGAACTGGGACGTCTTGAAGGCCTTAAGCGTATCGCTGAGAGTTAAAGTGACGTCAATTTCTGAGGAGTCTCCCAGACTACTTGACGTGAATGATCCTTTTGATAGAGACGACATTGTTGCCGATTCCATTTTTGCTTCTTTTTTTTTTCCCCCTTCAATTAATTCCAGAATTTCACAACAAGTTTCATATCTGATTAAGCCAGGGAAGGAATAAAGAAAGGAAAAAAAGAAAGGGAGGAAAATGCGTTTCAGAAAACAAGCAAATCAATCTGATAATTTTATTTTCGCCATCAGAGGCAAAATCATGTATTTGCAGCCATTACGCAGGACTCGGTTATTTCCTCATAACTAGGCTTGGATGGCGAAGCAAATTCACCTTTTTGTTTTCTTTTTTTTTTTTTTTTTTTTTTTTTTTTCCTTTTGTTTTTTCTCCTGAGCCTAGATGATCATTCCACGTTAAGTGGTACGGAATTTGAGGGATCCCAAAAATTAGTTTCAAAGTTCGTATGGATCAATTTATCATTATACCTTATTTTAAATAATATATATGTATGTAGCAAATTAGTGTCAATATGTAGCAACATAAGTACACACACACTTGACTACCAATAGAGATTTCCTTTTTCTTTTCGGCCCCAGTCAGTGAGCGCCGCAGCACCAAAAGGCTACATACATGGCGACATGGCGCCAATGCTCAGTGCTATGGTACTGCTGAAATCGTCCTTATAATGCCGCGGCATCAAGAATGGGCGCCAACAAGCAAATCATGTGCGATTCGAAGTAGCGCTGCGGCACGGCCAGGTCAAATCAGAGGCCGTTTTGATGGTTTTTAAGGGCTTTTTTAGGCTTTTTTTGTACAATATAAATACCTAGTGTCCTAGGGTTTTATTATCACGAATTTTCAGATAGAAAATTAGAGAGTGAGGTTAGGAAACATCTTTTGAGTGTGAGAAAAACATAAAGTGAGATTGAGTGATTTCTTTCTTCAGCAGTTAGTGGAATATGCGACAATAAAAACATGACGTAGTAAAATTGGTGAACTTGTATAAAATATCTTGTGTGATTTTATGCTTTGATTTTCGTTCGTTATTTTTTGTTATTTGTTATTTGCTTAGGATTTTAGGCAAATTTTCCCAACAACAAATTCATCCTTTTCTTTTTCATTACCACATTTGGGCACCGCATGAAAATTAACACAGCTGTAACATAGCCACAAACTTTTGCTGGCTATATTCAACTTTAACCCCTCCAACTCCAAGAACATCTTGCTTTTCACAAAATTAGAGACACGCCACAAAATCACAAGTACCAAAATCACAAACAAAACATCAAAATAACAAAGTACCAATTAGCTAGCATCCCATAAATTTTTTAGCTTGGATCAAATTATTAGGCTTCTTCTCATTAACCACGGTCCCATCATTCCCAGCAAGAGCCCTGTACTTGTCTTTCCTCGTAAAACTCGTGCGCTCGTAAGAAAGCGTCGCCGCAATAACTTTCTGAATATAATTCGCCACCTCATGGCTAGACTTCCCTGAGCTACAAGTGAGCTCAAGAGGCAGCTTGTTCATGAACGTCACCTCGTAAGCCGGGCTCGGGTTCATGAAGAAGTAAAACGGGTCCATTCCTTTCCAGCCCCTCGCCGTGGTGCCGTGAAACATGCTCATCTTGTTCACCATCGCCACCGGGACCAGCTCGTCGGTGAGCTCGGCGAAAAGCGCTGAGAATCTCAAGAGGAACGGCTCGCGGCACGTCGTCCCTTCCGGGCAGATGGCGAGGTCTCCCTCCCGGAGGAGCTTCTTGATCATGGAGGCGTCGGCGGCGCGGTCGCGGCTGAGACGGACGGTCTTGATGGGGGAGATGATCTCAGAGAGGCGCGACACGGAGTAGGTGACGGCCGGGATTGGCCTGCCGAGGGCGGCTGAGAGGAAGATGGGGTCGAGGAGGGTGCGGTGGGAGCAGATGAAGAGGACGCCGGAGGAGGATGGATCGCCGGAGCCGGCGGCCGGTTTTTTGACCGGCGGAGGTGGGGTGCCCTTGACGGTGACGCGGACGCCAAGGGACCTGAAGGCGTAGTAGACGAGGGGCATGGGGAGGAGGGCACCGGCGGCGATGCGGAGGCAGGCGAGGAGGAAGCCGATGGGGAGCCAGAGGATGATGAGGAGTGACATGAACGGAGTTGGTTTGCAGACGAGGCGGCCGTCGTGGAAGATTATCGGCTTCAGGAGCTTTTCGGTTGGCACTGCTTTCACCTCTGGTTTGGCTGGCACCATGTATCCTTCCTGCAAGTTTAATTTGTTCAACCGTGCAAATTAGATTCAAATTGGTTAACTTGTTTAATCGCGTAGGAAAATCCATAAATGAACTCTTAATTAGTTGATCACTACCAACTAATAGCAAAATTTGTTTTTTTATTCCCTTAACATAAAGGAGAAGTTTTGGTAGCATATAAAAGGATACTACAGTTTTTAACGGAAATTTTCATCAATTTTCGTTGAATTATCATACTTAAATGAATGGTCCAAGTATATCTTTTCTCACAGCATTCTATAGTCTTCTTCTAACTAAACACAACATCTAAAATTAAGAATATTGGTCTCTAAATCTTGTTCCATCCATAAATATGATCGAAGTCCTAACATTTTGTCACCTCTTGTGATGTTTAGTTCTCCTAATGCTCTTTAGTGTACATACATACATATATATATATATATATTTTTTTTTTTTTCATGTCGTTTACAAAACCAGTTTGTCTCTAAAGTTTAACCTGCTCTGTTTAGTATTTGTAAAGTTGAACCTGTGTTTAGTACCCCAGCGGTCTTAATATTTAGTACAAATCTTATCAATATTGTTTCTTAGCTATATATACCTTGCATATTGTCATGTAAGGAACATCAGTGAGCCTATCACCAAGTCCAATTTCAGGCTTGGTATCTCCAAAAGCCTTCTTAATCGCATCAGCCTTGTTCTTCCCCACAAGTACCCCCGGCCTGCGAACAAGACCCGTCGCTCGACCCTTATAAGTCTCAATCTCAGTCCCCAAAACCATATCAGCCCCAACAAATTCCTTGAGAAACGCTTCCACCATTATCCTCGGATTCGCGGTGACGACGCATCGCTTCCCGCACGACGAAAACACCCGCCACGACTCGGGATGCACGTCCGCCGAGTAGAACTTAGGCAGAACAGCCCTGGCCACGGACTCAATGTCCGAGACTCTCATCCCAGCAAACGTGACAAAGATAAGGACTTGGATTCCCGCGGATTCGGAGATGAAGTAGTAGAGAAGTCCAGCCAACGGGGAAGCCAAGAGCAAGAGGAGAAGCCGGAGAACGCCGCCGACCTCGAATGCGACGAGAGCAAAGTAAGGGAAAGAAGCAAAGTTCCGTCCATGTCAGTCACCACGGTGTGGTTTTCTCGACCGGTCGATGAACATTTGTTTACGGTCGGAAACGTACATAAAAAAACCATTTTTTTTTTTGGTTGATGAATATGCTATGAAGGTGAATATTAATAATTAAACTACTTGTTATTAGTTTTTCTGAAGAATTAGTTACGTATATATAGAGATCTTGGTAATTAGTAGGGGACAAAATCAATGGTTGGTGTATAATTAAACAAAGGGAAGGGTGTTAAAAGGGACAAAATGTAGGTTTATGAGTACAATGAATTGTAACGCCGAGATTTCCTAAAGGATTTTGACGTAAAGTGCAATTTTTTTAGGCATATTCAAGCATGATTTTCCTTGTTTTTATGGAAGCTATGGGGCTTGATTCAACTTTTTGGTGTCATTGCATGTATCGACGTAATCGCCCTATCTTGTCTTTCTTGGGTTGTTTTCTTTTAATAACTAACGTCTGGGAATTTCTGTCTTACAAGAAAAGAAGTAACCTCCTTTTCTAGTTTTCTGTCGTAAAATTTAACAACCACTAGATTTGGTTAGTTTTGTTAATTACTGTCGTGTTATGCACTAAACATTTGTAGCAGCCACGTTTGAAATTTGGGGCAGTTCAATTAAAGAATAAGAAACTGAAAATAAATTAAAAGAAAAGGGGGTGGTGGGGAAAAAGTAACCAAAAAAAAAAAAAAGGAGAGAGATAAAAATACAGGGAATGGGACTAAAGAGTGTTGTAGGGTAAAATTCTGAATCCTAAATCAGGTATTGAATAGGGTCCACACGTCATAAATGAAAGCATTAAATGATCGAGGACAGATCAACCTTAGCCGTCATGTCAGATGGCAAGTAGACCGCTAGTTAAGGATGTGGCATACATAGGAGGTCGACCGCTTTGAGGAGATACAAAGGACAATATGAGGTCGACAGTACCAACAATTGTAGGCGAAGTTGGTTCTGTGAGCGCTTATGAAGTCGAGAGATATGCGAGATTTGTTCCAGGATTTGCTATTTGTAATTCAAATATACGAAAGTTAAGCAATAAAATCGTCATGATTGATTGTAATCTCCATATTTTGGAAAATTATCTCAAAAGATGAAGGAAATATCCCTGAATTAAATGGAGAAACCAGCTGGGATGATGGGGAACGGTATAAATAAGGTATTGTAGGTCGAGAAATCTCTAAGTCTCATTGAGAGCAATTAGAGTGTGTAATTCTTTTTGAAAATTAAGTGAATTTTCTCCTCCTTACAGTAGACGTAGCTCTTGAATCAAAGGTGAACTATTATAATTCTCGTATATTCTTACTATTTGATTGTTTTAATCATGTTTTAGATAATTAAATTCGCACAACTCGTTTTAAAATTTGTTATATTTTTATTGACGAATTTTCACCGTCAACAAAGAGCCTTGTATTAGAATTTAGAGTATAAGATTTCAAATAAATTCCAATATGAAATTGGTATTATTAAAAGGAAAATCTTGAGAAGATTAGGAAATGTTCCTCCTTTAACTTACTTTTAGTTTTGTGTCGTTTTTTAATAATTTTGTTTCTTTCAAGCTAAGAAATAGAAAAAGGGAAAAAATAAGGGTTTAGAAAGAAACATAAATAGAGAACATCTCTCTAAATTTTTCAAAAAAAAAAAAAAAAACTAGTTTTTTCCTAATAGTAAAAATTAAGATCATTATGAATTATTATTATATAATTTTCTAGCGTAAAATGTTAAAATCATTGTAATAATTACTAATTATTTTTTTCCCTCTCTCTATTAATTAAGGAAAATTTTCATTTCGAAGAGGTTAATAGAGAAAGCAAAAGTTACACGTTTATAAGAATGAAATTAAAATATAATATTTTTTTTGTGAAATTTATAAGATAACATAATTAATTAGTAATTTTTTTATTTCAGGGCGGCCCATCTAAGCAAGAATGAAGGGCCCGTGGCCCACTTAGAGTTCTTCATTGCTAGTTAATTATACATATATCCATTAAGCAGGAGTTAAAAAAAAAAAAATTCCATGAGTTGTGATATTTGCACACAGTAGAATAATTTGTAAAATTAATCACTCATAAAATCAATTATACAAATTCATAATTGGTAAATGGATCTAGAATCATAATTCTGAATTCAAGTTCAGAATCAGTGTTTAGTTTGGATGATTCTGAATCATGATTCAAAATCTGATGTGATGTTTTAAATCAGAATCACTCATGATTCTAAAACCACCCTCTTGATTCAAAGTGATTCAAACCCCTGATTCTGAATCGTTGTTTCAGAATTATGATTTGAACCCAAAATCATGAATCATGGGTTCTGATTTCAAAACATAATTAGAATCACTTTGATTTAAATCATCGTACCAAATGATATATTAAAATAATATTTTCTCAATAATCATAAAATAGACAAATTAATAATATTATTAAATTAATGACATTTTCTAAACAGAGATTTCAAAAGTCATCATTTGGTGAAACTTCTTATCATTTTGAAACGTGATCATAAAACAGTGTTGCAAATTTTTTTCTGACATTACCGTTGTATATTCTCTATTAAACCCATGTCATTGTCAATCAATTCTAGATGCTTTGTCTGGTCCTATCGTTAAACTGATATAATTGACCAATCAAATTTAACCGAGCACAATCAGTCTAGTTTTCTTAGCATGTTGTTGTAGATTAGCTAACTCAGACCTCGGTTAGAGGAAACATTTGTTGAGGTCGCCATGATTAGTTTGGAAATATAGAATTGACAGAGATTTTTTGCTTTTGTTTTTATGTCACTTTTCAATGAAGGATATAAAAAGAGTTATACACACTTAAATTTGTGTAAAACGACTTATTTTTATGAAGAATGACCCGATCATAAAAAGAAAAAATGTCATTTTGTCATTTCACTTTATTAGATAGATTTCTCTCGCTAAAGTACCAAGTGTGAGTGAGCAAAGCAAAGGTATTTTACTGTGGAGAGCTTCCTTAACAACATAAACTATGGTTGGGTTCTTTTCTTTTTAGCACTTGGCTGTTGTGCTCTTCCTTTACAAAAGAACTTTCTAGACATCTTTCCTTTTCCTTTTACCACTCATACATGATACAATTAGCCCATGCTATTACAAAAGTACGTTTCTTTTCTTCGTTGGACTATTTGTTTGCATTTTAATTGCAATGCAAATCATGCAAAAATGTTAGAATTTCCACCCTAAAAAGATCAAAAAGTTAAATTTATCATCAATGATGTTGACTTGATGGTGAATGATGATATGTTAGGGCTCTCTCACTTAGAATATAATTAAACACATTTACTTAACAGTAAAGTAAGTCTTATCGATCATTTATTGAATATTTACGCTAAAAATATATATTGCATCGTATGACCAAAAAATGCCCCTTATATGCATACCATTAAATTTTAATCAATGGCTAAAATACTTGCTATACCAATAAGACAAACCAACATGTCCTACTTTTTTATTAATTAAATAAATATATTATTTTAATTTTTTTTTTTTGGCAATTTATCCTCTGTTTTTAGAAACTACAAATATGTCTTTTGAGTTTGAAAAACTTACATGGATAGAAATATAAGTTGAAACATCTCTTGATTGAGTCTCAACCACTGGTAAAGAACTAATACTTTCTTCATTTAGCATTTCTTTCCAAATGAAAAAGTTCTTCGCGACCCAACATTATGTTTGAAAATTCTCCTTACAAGCTAATCAATAACGAGAAAAAAATAAAAGCAAAGGATATAAATATTCAGGCTTTGCCGACGGTTAGAAATATGTAAAGCAAAAATATAACATGACATCTATTTTAAATAACACAAACATTATTTGATATAACATAACATTTATATTTAACGTAATACAAATATTAGAAAAAAGTAACACTAAGAAATTAAACTTTCTCAAACTATTATTACATTTTAATTAGGAGACGTTTGGTTAGAGGATTCAAACTATGATTTGAATCATGGTTCATGGTTCACTACAGTGTTTTCTCTCATAAAAAATACACGTAAATCGAAAATGATTATAATCCATGAACCAAGCGTCTCATTAATTATTTAACGTTATACAAATATCATACAGGTGTAATAATAGTCCGAGGTAATTAATTATCTTATTGTTCCACATTTTAATATCAATGTTATATTAAATAAATTCATGTCATGTTTTTATTTTTACACGTTGTAATAGTGGGAACATCCCATCGATGGAGCATAGACAAATCCAATTTAAATATTTATAGTCTCTTATTGAAGGGTAATTATTTACTTTTTTTTTCTTTTTCTTCAAGGGATGTTATCCATCTTTTATTATTGTCCTTCGTTAAATTCTTTGCTTTCTCCCACAAATTGGTCCCAATTAAGTGAACTTAACAGATAGAAAAAGTAAGATATTTATCATATAAATGGTATCATTGGTTTATTATTTTTTAAGGCATTTTGTTCGGTCCCACACTTTTTTTTTTTCTGTGAGAGAGTCATGGGATTTTTTTTTTCATGCCCTTACTGCCCCTCAAATGCCATTTATACATCTCAGCCATTCTATTAAAAAACAATAATAAAATATGACACTTCACCACAATAAATGGTTGAGATTATCTTGTGGGAGCATTCCACATTCACTAAATTTATTTCAACTCTTGATTTAGGGTTTGTTACAATATTTTCCTTTCATAAAGAATTTAAATTTAAAAGTTTTACATCATTAATTTCTCAAAAAATTATCGTTAATAAATTAAAATTACTAATTTAAAATTGTAAATTAAACCGACCTTAAAATTTATGTAGTTCTAAATAAAGTCCCAATTTATTTTATAAAAAAATTACTGGATTTAATTTTAAAAGTATACGAGTCTAGAATTTTATCACTTGCTATTAGTTTATACACTTGTGAACAGTAAGAAAATAAAAATTAAGACCTACTTTTAAATGGACATTTGCCTCATTTTCTGTTATTTTAGGTTGTTTTTTTAGAGTGTAATTTGAGTGTAGTTTTTGAGTTGAATTTGAGTTATAACTTGAGTTAAAGTTGTAACTTGAGTTAAAGTTGTAACTTGAATAAAATTGAGTAAAATTAAATAAAATTAAAAATTAAAAGAACGTGCACTTGAATAAAATTGTAACTTAAATTTAAATTTTTTTTGAGTTTTGTTGTAAAAAACCAACCCTTTTATTTCTTATTCTTCTTAAAAGGACAAGTGGCACGCTGTTTTGTCGGCACCACCGCACACGTGTATGATGTGTATCAATATTATAAATTTAAAATAACTCCCAAGTCCCACCGATTAAAAACGCCACCAACCAATCCAGCCCCCCATGCCCGGCCAAGCCCCAGTTTTATTATTTTTTTAATATGTTTTGGGAAATTTTTTTAATGGTAAAAAGAAATGTCTTGGGAAAATTTCTTAATTCTCATTGAGAATTCATTTATTCCAAATAGTAATATAGACCTCTCACCTACCTTAAAAAGGATCAATTGTAAGTCATATTAGATACTCTAGAAAAACCAAGATGAATATAATAAAGTGTTCAACTATAACAAACAAAAGAGAGAATATTTTTTTCCATCGAAAAACATGGATGAGGAATTTTTTATGCGTTCTTTATGATTGACGTGTTTCACAAAAAAATAAATCGTCAACTCTTGCAAAACGTTCTTAAACTCCTGTAAAAATTCTTATGATCGAAATCATAGCAAATGTAGTAATAGATGATTTCTGTTCACTTAAAATCTTCTTCTCTTAACACTCGAAAAGCATAAGAACACATAAAAATCAAATTAAAATATGATTGTATCAAGTTTATCATCAATATTTTTATTTATAGTGGAAAAAAAAAATAAAGAACTCTCTTTATGTTGGGAAGGATTATTGAAATTTAAGGCAAAAAAATGAGACGAGTACAGAAAAACTCAAAACCAAGGGGCTCGGCTCAAACAAATGTGTTGCTATGTTTTACCAACACGGGTGTAGCAGCAACAGTTTTAATTAAAAAAAGTTGTAGCATCTTTTATTATTATTTTTTGTACCACTAAGAATCCATTTAAGAATTGGAGTTTTCTGTTTGAAGGCAATTATTGAAAGGAATAATGGAACTTGACCATATGATCCAGGTGATGGCCACTAGGGCGTTCCAACTCCATGCCCACTTTTGCTCTAACCAATGTCTTTCTTTCTTCACAAGGACAAAGAAAAAAAAAAAAATTCCCCTTGAGAATTAAATATAGACTTAAATAACTTGTATTATTTTATATTTTTTTTGTTAGCCTATGTCACTATGATCAAATTATTAAAAATGAACAAATCAACCGAATAAGGAAAAAAAAGAAAGAAAAACTCTATTTACAACGTCCACTCGTCGCCGTTTGGAAACTTGTTTATTACTATTTTTATGTTTATTTATTTTTGTTATTATTATTATTATTATTATTCAAAGTTGGGTCGTTTTCCACTGGATTTTGCCTTTCCAGACTAGTAAAAGAGCTTGGCAGCAAGCAATGGTGGGTATAATCTTTTTGTTTCCTTTTAAGGCATAATCTTTTTCATTTTTCAAATTTTACCAAATTTCCCAAATACCAAGCAAACCAAAGTTTCTTTTTTCCTTTTTCGTTATTCGAGTTTAAGCTTTCTTCTTCCCCATTTTGCTTCGAATCTAGGGTTAGGGTTTCCAGAACAGAGAGCTTCACAGAAGCCATTACAGAGTACCGGGCTTCCAAAGCTGGGTTTGTGGAGGAACATTGTGGAGAGGAGGCAATGAAGCGAGGGAAATTGGACTCGCTGATGTCTCCGAGTCGACTCAGGCTGCTCCAGATTCTGATGGCCTTGGTCTTCTTCTGCATGCTCTTCATGAGCTTCGAAATCCCTCTTGTCCTCAGAACTGGCCTCGGAGCCTCCGGCGACGAAATGTACAGTTTCATCAGCGACGCTTTGCCGAGGCCTTTGGCTCTCGAGAGCGAAGAGGACTTCGCCGACAAAGACGCTCCGAGTCGACCCGCCGACAATCCTCTCCGAGTCTTCGGTGGCTCGCCGCATCGGACGCCCACGCGGGAGTTCAAGAAAGTCTCCGGCTTGGCATTCAACGGCACCGTTTTCGACGCCCATGTCGGCGAGGGGAACTCCTCGGAGCTTCACATGGCAGCCAAGCACGCTTGGGCAGTGGGAAGGAAGCTCTGGAACGAGCTTGAGTCCGGGAAAATCCAGAACAATCCGATCGTTAAGCCGGAGAACCGGTCCGAGCAGTGTCCGCATTCGATTGCGCTTTCGGGGTCGGATTTCCGGGCTCGGAATCGGGTTCTGGTTCTTCCTTGCGGCTTGACGCTGTGGTCCCATATCACGGTGGTTGGGACGCCGCGCTGGGCCCACCAGGAGTATGATCCGAAGATCGCGGTGTTGAAGGAAGGAGACGAGTCGGTGATGGTGTCGCAGTTCATGATGGAGTTGCAGGGATTGAAGACCGTTGATGGGGAAGACCCGCCGAGGATATTGCATTTCAATCCGAGGCTGAAAGGGGATTGGAGTGGAAAGCCCGTGATTGAGGAGAACACTTGTTATCGGATGCAATGGGGATCGGCGCTCCGTTGCGAGGGATGGAAATCTAGGGCGGACGAAGAAACCAGTAGGTGATTTTGCCCCTAAAGAATTGGTTTTTGTTTCTATTGGAATCAGATTCAGTTTAAGATAGATTATGAATATGTCTGGCGCTATTTTTAATCGTTCGTTTGATATCCGAATGCAAATTGGAGTAATAATTTCTGTGATTGGACCTTTTAGGAAGATGCCCAAATGTTGAGAACTCGGATTTGGATTTTCGTCTTCCACTTTGGTACTTTGTTTAATTCGGATTGCTGAATGTCTTCTTCTTCTGAAAACTAGTTTATTTTTATATTTCCTTTGATCCAATAGTAGGTGATTTGGACCCTTTTCGTCGGTACTATTTTTTACCTCTAAAGAATGGTTACTTCTGCAGTCTGTGCTATTCTCTGAGGTCGTTTGCGTTAAAATAAGGATAGTCTAAGGTATAAAGAATGCATCTCAAGCTATTTATAGCTAGGTTGGATAAATTGTTCCAGGGCATGATGCAGATTTGGGTAATGATTTCGTGATAGGACCTGTAGGAAAATGTCCAATGTGGAGATTTTGATCGTTTTACACTTTGAATTTTCGATTTCTTGTTTTTGAATGGGAGTACTCATTATCTTATTTGTGGACACTAGCTTCGAGTGGATTCGTCATTCGACCTTTTTTTCCTTGATTTGATAAGGGGATGTATTCACCAGTGCTGATTCTTTTGATTTTTGAAGTTGATGGGCAGGTGAAATGTGAGAAGTGGATTCGTGATGATGACAATCACTCAGAAGAATCAAAGGCTTTGTGGTGGTTGAACAGGTTGATTGGCCGAACCAAGAAGGTGACTATAGACTGGCCGTATCCTTTTGCAGAGGGCAGGTTGTTTGTACTTACTGTTAGTGCTGGATTGGAAGGTTACCATGTCAATGTCGATGGTCGGCATGTTACTTCGTTCCCATATCGCACGGTGAGCATTTTGTTAACATTTTCTTGCACAGTGGTAAATGCAGGCAGTGCATACTAAAAGATTTTGTAATGCTTTCAGGGATTTGTTCTTGAAGATGCCACAGGACTTTTTGTGAACGGAGATGTTGATGTGCATTCTGTATTTGCTGCTTCTTTACCCACATCACATCCTAGTTTTGCACCACAGTTGCATCTTGAGATGTCTGCTAGATGGAAAGCTCCTCCTCTTTCCAACGATCGTGCGGAGCTTTTTATTGGCATCCTTTCTGCCGGCAACCATTTTGCTGAGCGGATGGCTGTTCGGAAGTCTTGGATGCAACATAAGTTGATCAAATCTTCACATGCTGTAGCTCGTTTTTTTGTGGCACTGGTAAGTCGGAACATGAAAGCGTGTTTTCTAGCATAGAAAAGTTTTTTTTTTTTGGGGCGTTGAAGTTGTTAAAGCTTCAGATATTGCATTTTGACAGCATGGAAGAAAGGAAGTTAACGTAGAGCTAAAAAAGGAAGCAGATTATTTTGGTGATATTGTTATAGTCCCTTACATGGATAACTATGACCTTGTTGTATTGAAGACAATTGCCATCTGCGAGTATGGGGTGAGTGGTGTGATAAGAAGTCAATTTCTTACATTTTTTCAAACCTGCTTATAGTTTCAAATGGCTTATCTATATCTCATTACAGCATCGCACAGTTGCTGCAAAGCACATCATGAAGTGTGATGATGACACATTTGTTAGGGTGGATACCGTACTTAAGGAGGCACACAAAGTTGGTGAAGATAAAAGTCTCTACATTGGAAATATTAACTACCACCACAAACCCCTTCGTTATGGTAAATGGGCAGTAACATATGAGGTACGACCAACTCTTCTTGGTTCACCAATCTCCGTCATTGATTATCGTCCTTTGCTTAACTTGTTCTAATTCTAAATGAAAATAGACTCCTAATGGTTTCTACTAAGTTCCTTTTTAAAGTTATTAGGTCTTGTTTGTACTTTGTATTTGAAAAACTCAGACCTGGAATTATCATTATTGCTCCTGAAAATGATCTTCCAATTTTTGTAGAAATTTGATTACCTCATGTTCCTCTTACCTAAAAGTCTTGCTTTGTTTGCTTATAGTGTCATTATAGTTTTCTCTATGAACAACTGTGTGATATATCATTGCCATGTGAAAAAAAGAAAGACAGAAAGGGAAATATTGATAGTAATTAGCTTTTATGGTATTCCAGGAAGTGTCTAAACCGGGGGGAAAAAATTCGTTTCTCTGGTTCCCAATTTTATTGATACTTTAGTCTTTATGCTAATTCCTTCATCTGGTGTTGATGTACCATCAATACCTTCGTTGATGGTCATATGTTCATTTTTGCTGTGTTCCAGGAGTGGCCAGAAGAAGATTATCCACCGTATGCAAATGGTCCAGGTTACATCATATCCAGCGACATTGCAGAGTTCATCATATCTGAGTTTGAAAAGCACAAGTTGAGAGTACGTCTGAATCTCCTTAATCTTCTCTTCCTCGCTCTGGTTGTGTGCGTGTTTTATGTACGATTACATGAAAATCATACTGTCCATGGTGCAGTTGTTCAAGATGGAAGACGTGAGCATGGGAATGTGGGTGGAGCAATTTAACAGTTCAAAACCGGTGCAGTATGTGCACAGCGTGAGATTTTGCCAGTTTGGTTGCATTGACGATTACTACACTGCTCATTATCAATCCCCGAGACAGATGATGTGCATGTGGGGCAAATTGCAGCAGCATGGAAGACCCCAGTGCTGCAACATGAGATGACAAAAGTATAGAAATCCTATCCTCTTCCTTTAGTTTATACTAATCGATTGAGTAGTCATAGGAGTCGCATTAAAGCCCCTATGGAGGCTTCTTGCTACTGCCCTACCATAAGAGAAATAAGCCAGTCACAGGCAAACAACCTCTTGAGTCTCTAACTTCCGAATCCGAATACCCAAAAGACCTACTGGTCGGCCACTGCTGCCTACGATCCAGTGTGCAGGGTGCTCGCTGATCGGAAACCTTTCCCAAGAAAGAGGGTCTTCACTGAAGGGCTCTTCAAGGTAAACAACAAACTAAGATAGTGTTTCCTCACAAAATAGAAAAATTTGGGAAGAAACAACACAGAGTAACCTAGTTTTGGCAGTCGATAGCAGTATATTATCTCTGTAAATTTAAAAGGGTTTTCAAGTTAAATGGGGTTGTAATGCTCTCATGCCCCACATTCCAATTCCATTTATTATTTCACCTATATAGCTTCCTATTTCTTGCAATGCTCAATTGTAACCTTCCTTTCTGGTCATCAGCTTGACACAAAGGCACCCGGAAGTGATTGCAAGTGATAATTTCCATCAATGATTTATTGGCTACGTGTTGCCAACAAAGGCATTCTCGGTGGTAAATAAGGCCTTTCTCTGTTGAGCAATTCTGTTTATCACTGTATTTTAGCCAAAAAAAAAAAAAAAGAATCTCTTTATCACCGTAGCTTTTTAACCAATAAAGTCTTATCGATAGAGATATTGAGACAGTCTCATATGTCAATATCTAATTTAATTTAGTTAAAAGAACACGTTAGCACTAATTAGTATTGCGCTTTCTCTTTCTAGTTGGACCTCTTAAGCCGGAAAATGTTTCCATGAAAAAATTACAAAGTCACAATATATTAGAAAATGGCAAAAGCAACAAAAAGGTTTTCGATGTCAACAAATGCACCCAAAAAAAAAAAAGTTCTAATAAACAATGGGGAGCAGTGGTATTTAATGGCTATTCATATAATAACAACTCATTGTCCTATTCAAATTCAAAGCCCTATTTTTTTCTGCGTATATTTCTTAAGTGTGCTCTTTTGGAGCTGGCGAATAAAGTGACAATGATACCTAAAGAACAATCATAATGAAAGTGATTCCCTCAGTAGTGGCTATAATGCTTGCTCGAAGATAGGGAATCCGATTCCAGAATTCTATATTTAGCACCATTGATGTCTCTCTACGCTCAAGGCTTAAAGCTTTAGGGTTCGTTTAGTTCATGCGTTCACGTTAGTGTTTTTAATTCATTGACTGGAAGTGACAAAATCATCAATTCAGAATCAGAATCATGAGTTTAAATACATCAAATAAACGAGCACTTATTTTCTAATATGTAAGACTTATAATGCACGAAATCCAAAAAGTTCAGTTCAATTCAACTTGTCCTAAATGCAAAAAACTTTTAGGTGCGTTTGAAACTCGTTTTAAAATGATTTTTATTTTTTGTATGAAAATGAAAATGAAAACATTTTCAATCTAAGACAGAAATCATTTTTGAAAATGTATTTGGTAGTTTTATCAAGAGATTATTTTCAGTATAAAAAATCCATTAATGTCTCTCTCTATCTCTTTCTCTTTGCTCGAGAGAGGAGAAAACAAAAAAAAAACAAAAAAAAACGACTAAAAGTCGTTTTTCATTTTTCTCTCATTTTACACTAAACCAAAAAATTGTTTTCATTTTCATTTTTTGTCTTTATTGCGCCAAACGCCATTTTAAAAACATTTTCATTTTTTCTTTCTTAAAAAACGTAAAAAACAAAAACAGGATCAATTCCAAACACGACTTTTGTTTCATACAATTGCAAGAATTGAGAGTTGGAACTTGAAACTTCAATATATATATCGGATAGTAACATTTACTCACAATACTGGAATCTTAGCTGTGCTCCAACGTGCAAAATAAAAGTAGATTATTTACTTGGAATATTAATATTCTCTTAAACTTTAGAACAACTTTGAGAAAATCTCAACCCAAAAGAAGGTCATAACCAAAGCAACATGAATTTTGCCTTCCAAGTTCACTTCACAAACTGAGTTTCACCATCTACAAGACATAAACTAATAACCACGCCACACAAAAGACCAACCACGCTAACCCTGCAACCAAAAAAACAAAAGTATAATTATCAAAATTACCATCAAAGTTTCATTATAATATATGATAAATAATTCATCAAAGTATAATATATGATAATATTTCATACCAGTTTGCAGTGGAAGCCTTGAACCCAAATTGTAGCCAAAGAAGCAATAACTAGTGGAGTTAAATCCAGAAGGGCAGTTACATATGAATGAATTATATGCTCCAGTGTAGCCACAATACCCAAAACTCTTTTCACAGTTAGCACAATAACTCGGAAACTCATTATACACACTAAACTTGTACTTCAACGCTATACCATACTTCCAACTATCCGGGTCGGATTGTCTTCCATTAAAGCTGTAGAACCCGGAGTAAGAACCGCACTTCAACTTCTCCAAGTCCATGTCAAACGACGGCCCAAGATCAACAGGCGTGTAAACGCAACACGTCGAAATCGGAATATTGAGAGGACTAATAGCCCTGCAAGAATACAAAAAACTGCATATTGGCAGTGCCTGTTTGTCACAAAGAGGAACTGCTCTAGAGCTTGAAGAATTATAATTCCCATCACTGTTAGGCCTGTAGATAGGCGAGTCGTCGAGCGAGCAACCAAGCAAAGCGAAGATGGTTTCGTCGGCGAAGGTGAAAGGCGCGTCCCAGTCTAGGCCGAAGCCTTTGCTGGGCTGGTTACACGAACATGTTGAGATGGAAGGGTCCGAGATGTAGAGAAGCTGGTTGGAGTAATCTATGGCGGTGATGGGGTAAGAGCCGGTGTGAGTTGTGAAAGTGAGTTGTTGTTGGTCGTTGTTGCATGTCACGTAGTGTTGGAAGCGGGAGTCGCCGCAGCCTGGCCCGCTTCCGAAAGGGTACTTGAGAGGGAGTTTTCCGCAAGCTCTTAGGCAGGTTTGGGAGGAGACTAAAGAGGGAATTATGAAGAATATGATTGTGATCATGATTGTAAAAATAATGGTGGTTTTTGATGAAGAAGAATGTTGGAGAAGCTTCATTGTTTTTTGGGATATTGATGGAAACTAGTCAAGTGAAGAAAGCAGCAAGAATGACTATACTAGTATGGTATATAATAAGAATTTGGTATATTTTTATATGTAGTGGAATAGCAGATGAGTTTCTGCTTTTTGGTGGGGAAGCTTGATCGATCATGTAGTATTGTTTTATGATTTTTTTTTTTTTTTTTTTCAAAAACCTTCTTTCGGTGTTAGGTTGGCTAGCTTTTATTGGTTTTAACCTTTATTATTCTGTTAGATAGATGCTTAAAAGTTAAAACATCACACACGCACAAAACTACAAGTTTATCGTTACAGAAGCCAGCTGGCCAGAAGGATCCATGGCGGTATTTGGATGACGTATTTCGAAATATTGTCGTCTGAAATTTACCTCTGTAGAGAGGAGATATATAAATGTATATAATATTTATGTAGGTATATGTAGAAAAGTAGAAAGTGACGGCGGAAAATAACATTGTTTTGGGAAATAAAAAGCAATGCAGAAAATTTGATTCCATAATCTTTCGAAAAAAAAAAAAAAAACCCTCGTTTTTTTTTTATTGTAAAAATTAAAAGCCCTAAAGAAGCTCAATCATTTCTTCCACCTAAATCTCTATCTTCTCTCTTGACTCTCTCTGTCTAATTTCATCTTCTCTTCTAAATCTCTTTGTCTAATTTCATCTTCTCTCCTAAATCTCTCTATTTACAGTTTAGATTTCTCCGACTGAAAACCTTATCAGAGATTTGATCCGCCAAATCTTTCTCTTTAGTATTTCAAACAAATGAGGTTTGGACGATTTCGATAAGTTTCTTAATAGGAAATCAAAGGAGTCCAAGACCAATTTTGAAGACTTTAAATCAATGTGCTTTCTTTTTCATCGATTTACTTTTCAAGTTAACAAATTATAAATTCAAAACTTCTCATTGTGTGAAATTGGATTTTTGTTTAATTTAGAAGTTTTTACATTAAAGATGTGTGTTGGATTTACGTGTTGTATGATGTAAATATATATTTATATATATTGTTTTATAAGATGTATGATTAGATTATAATGAGGTTTTGTTGAAATTTGATTTAATAGAAAATTTGTATATTACAACATAGTGCTGAATTAAGTCGTAAATAATAAAAATGAGTTAACTCATAATCGTCCATCAATGATATTTTTATCACGTTTGAAAATTTATTGAAAGGTCAAAATAATCTTTTTCATTAACTTTAATTGTTATAATCTCTAAAAGTGTGAGATTATGAAAAGTAATCATTGCTAATTATATAAAGGAATTTATTTAAAATCATTTTCATTTATATTCTATGTGGGACTTCATTCTCACTTGAAAAATTATGGACTTTTTTTTTCTTTGAAAAGAAGAATATAAAGACTATTCTTTCAATAGCCGACCTGGGTAAAGGTCCACCCGAGAGTGCTGCCTATTTACTTTCCACGTGTATATTTATATTTTTAGAAAATGTGGATCGCAAATTAGACGATTGCTTTATTAAAAATTGTCGTCTATGTTTAATATTTAGATGACGGTTTTATAAAAAAACCATCGTCTAACCTAGACGTGAAGTCTAAATTTTGATTTTTAACATTACCCCCTCTCATATTTCACAAACCATATTCTCTCATGCCTCTCTCATTCCCATCGTCCCATTGCGAGCGTTTGCCGCCCTCTCGCCTTCAATCAAAGTCGTCCCAGTCGCGCGCCTGTCGCATCTCCTTCGGCAACCTTTGTCGCCCCTCTCTCTTTCATTTTCACCGTCACCAACTTCTGCCGCCACCCAACGTGCTCTCTCCGTCAACATTTTGCCGCAAATTGTCGTCACGCGCTCTCTTCGTCGACATTCCGGCCGCTATTAGGCAACGGTTAAGTTTAGTTCAATTAGGTTAGAATATTAGACGACGGTTTGGATGTTGGCTCTAATTTCTCCCTAATTATGGTTGGATCCGCGACTTTAGAAAATTAATTTCTCTGAAAGTTTAGTATTCTTTATTACATTAAGAGCAACTGAGTTATATTATTTCTTTTAATCAGTTGATATTGTTTTATAATTTATTAGTGTGTTACGTGATTGGAAGGCCAACACAATGAGTGAGTTTGAACGCATAGTGATGGGTTAACAAGATTTTCACGTCCACATTATAAGTATTCATAATTCTTGTTAACAAAATTACTCAAACTTAGGGGATATTTAAATGGTATACTGAAATATTTTATTAATTTTTAGCGCATTCTGACACAAGAGAGGATCAACGAATGTGACTTTTTTGTCTTACGGTATATGCGTGATGTAATTGAAGTAGGTGTTAATCAACTAAAAAATATACCAGAATATACTAATGTCCATTTGGTAGAAGTTATAAAAAAATGAGCGCATTTTGTAAAATGATATATATACTAAAAAACAGTTAAAGTGAGTACACATTTAAAGAGAGCAATTTTAAAATTAAATTAAAACACATGTGAAATAAATTATTTCTATAGAAATAAAGTGAGAAAAATATATATTTTTAAAGACATACTCTAAAAAATTAAGCTGTAAAAGACATTAACAAATTAAAAAAAACATAAAAATAATAAAAAGAAAAAAAAAATTGTGAGAAGTAAAAAAAAAAAAAAAATGGGAGAAATAAAAAAAAAAAAAAAATGGGAGAAATAAAAAAAAAAAAAAAATGGGAGAAATAAAAAAAAAAAAAAAGAGGAGAAGCGGGTTGTCACGTGACAACGTAAAAAGTGCTCATGAAAGCACCGTACCTTTTTTTTGTGTGTTAAAAGAAGAGATACACACACGTCTAATTTCTGCATCCCTGAAACAAGGACAGCCTCAGTTTTTTGTAGCGAAGGCCCATCAAATTATTTTGATGAATGCGCACCAACCACCAATGCGCCTTAAAAACAGGCCCAAAGATGAGTGTGATTGTTGCTTTAAAAAAAAATGTAACAAATTCATATGATTGTTCTTATAAACGTTACTTAAAAAAAGTATAATTGTTCTTTATGTTTTTCTCTTCATCATCATCATCGCAGAATAAAAAAAGTAAAATTCGTATCACATATATAAATCAATCCATCTCACTGTATAAGATTTTCTTATACATTCTGATAAAGAGACTTTAACATTTATAGTGTTTGATATGAAAATTGTGTAATGGTTCGAATCACAGTTCGTGATTCGTTACAGTATTTTTTCTCACAAAAAACACACGTAAATTGAGAATGATTATAAATCTTAGTTTTAAATATGTGAACCAAACGTCTAATTAATTGTTAACAAACAGACTTGACGATATCTCTTTTATTGCTACAACTTTATAACATGAACACGTGAATCTTAATATGCAATTTTCCCATGTATTGAGTTTCTCCTCATGTTGATGTAGGAGGTTTTAGATATATTAGTCGTTAATTTTAGCTTTATTTAAACTTATTTTGTTATTAATTTGTTGTTTGGGTTAGTAGTTATTTCATAATGGTTTTGCAAGTGGAATATAAATAGTCCTTCAGCTATTGTAATATCGATAATTGCATACTATAGTTTTCAGTGTTTTCTCTTCAATTCGAGCGTTCTCCTTGTGAGATTTTTTTAAGTAGATTTTAGATTTTTAAGTTCCATCTTCCGTTCAAATTAGACATATAAAATCTATTTTTATCCATTCCGCTGCATCATACGTCTTTAAAATCTTCCCTTTCATTTTTTTTCCCTTGTTAGATAAATTATGTCTTTCAATTTTATGTTATAACGTCTATAGTAGGCCACTGAAAATACTTATATCAATTATTATTATTATTATTATTATTATTATTATTATTATTATTATTATTATTATTAATAAAGGCGCTCTAGATTTAGCAGACAAAAGGGTTATGTTATACATATAACCCATAGAGGTGAGATAACATTATGTTAATTTGTTAAATTTCATTTTGGGGCACATTTACTTGCTCATTGACCTCACGCTTTGTTAAGTCGATCGAATGGTAATATATGAATCTCCTTTTCGCTACTTGGACAGATTCCTTTAATTGATGGTTGATTCGACCTTATAAGCTTACTAATGCTTCACAAGACACGATCCAATCCACTACACAAGATCCTCAAACTTGAGTTCTAGATTGACTTCAGTGTGAGTTAAAGAAAATATTACTCTTAGGTAGTTGGTATTCAAATGTACCTCTTAATAGAATTTGGAAATTTCAATTTTAGGCTATGTTTAGTAGGAGGGATTGATAAAACTTGAAGCGTCGGAGGATTATAGTAATTTTTTATGTTGTTTGGCAATAGAGAAAAAGAATTAAAAATGAATAAATTAATATTTGTTTGATTATTATAGTACCCTCTTTATCAATTCATACTAAGTTTTTTTAAACCTTTAATAGTGGATCATACTAAATTTTTTAAAGAAGTAATCCTTCACTCTCCTCTCCCTAATTGGAGCTCTTTCTCCATCTCTCTCCATCTATCTTTCTTCTATCAAACATAGTGTAAGTAAATAAAAAGTGCCCCCAAGAGTTGAATGGAGTAGTTGTGGGTTACTCTTTAGACTCTCACAAAGGAAAGATTCAAGGTTCAAGCCTTGGACCCTCTCAATCTCAACGGGTGCTACCAGTTAAAAAAAAAGTACCATTTGGTTGGAGGATTCGTTCTCTGATTCGAATTATGGTTCATAGTTCGCTACAATATTTTTTCTCACAAAAAATACACGTAAATAAAAAATAATTTTAATCTCATGGTTCTAATCCATGAACCAAACGGTAAATAAAAAGTGGTCTAAACAAAAATGCGAAATTATCTTTTTTTATCACATGGAAGTGACGGTTTTTATAGAAATTACAGGAAAAATAGATATCAAATTTACTAAAAAAAAAAGTTATATGCTTATTTATTTGTCTTTTCTTTAAGCCCTTCATACTTATTTTTTTATCTTCAATTTAATTTCTGGAAAATCCTCACGAAATACGACGAGCTACATGTATGCTCGGCTACACCACGTCCCAGTAGCAGAATTGTCTTTTTAATGCAAATGGTTAAAAAAGGTAAATTTCACTTTTGGCCTCTAAATTATGCAACATGTTTCATTTTGAGCTCAAATTAGAAAGCTTGTCCCATTTTAGTCTTTTTATCATTAAAACTGTTAAATCTTGACAGAAAGCGGCAAAATCAGACAAGTTGTATAGTTTAAGGGTGTGATTTACAATGTTTCAAAGTTTTTAAGGGCAAAAAATGGGACAAATAACGTAGTTTCAGGGCACAAAAGTGAAATCAGGCGTGAATGCAAATGGGACCTAATTAACTCAAAACTTGGGCCACATGAAAAGGTTTTGGGCTGAATTGAAGGCCACAAATAGGCTAGCCCGGCCCAATATAACCTATAGCACACAGACTGCTGCTCGCCTATTAAAATTACCGTACTAGCCAATTAGTCATCCCTCGCTGAAGTATTCATAATCATTCAACAACATCGCCTTCTTCGGCAAATTCTTGAAAAGTTTGAAACTTTTCAACTCTTCTTTTATCACCGATCAGTTCACAAGGTAACTACACTACCGCTTGTGCTGTCTTTTTTGTTGACCGGTTGATGATTTTCCCCTTTATTAGAATGGGCTTTGTTTCCTTTGATTACGCCACTTTGAAATTCTTGTCTGGAGATTTTGTGTTATATTTGTTCACCTTTTCAATGCAAAATAATGTTTTGCCTCTGCACAAGTTTAATCGGGACGCATATGTGGTAGTGAACAATTGAATTCTTGTGTTCATAGTTGCCAAGGAAATGTTTGATGTAATGCCTGATAGAACTAGCAAAGTGCCGTATATGCTTTTTTTTTTTTGTAGTTTTATTTGAGCTAATGGGTCTGATGGATTGTTTTCAGATGCGTTAGATTGATTTTGGTAGTGGGCAGAGTACAGATTTATGTTGTTGTAGTCTTGGCTTAACAAACTTATTGCTTTGGTTCCCAAAGAAAAAGGGTGGAAGATAGTTTCTTTGGCATAGTAATTGATCATAACTGATAGTTTTCGACAATTATGTCGGCTTATTATGTCAAAAAAATGTGTGGATTTAAAAAACTTATATTTTGACAGGTGATGGACTAATGAGAAAACTTCTGAGCTTAAATAAATGGAGGAGAGTCACTGCCTCGCAGAAAAAGCAATCTTGAAAATTCCGTTGATGGATGCCTCTCACAGATATGAAGAGGCTTACCATCTTCTCAGTCCGTTGTTTGCGGATCATCTCTCATCATCCTTGCTTAAGTTTTGGTTCAAACTGCTCCCCATTCTTCTTCTTGGGAAGAAACTTGAGCCAAGTACTCTCAGCAAGCTCGACAAATACCAGGCCTTTTCCTGATTATTCGCCTAAGAAGCCTACCATCAAGGATGCCGAATTTGTTCATCATATCACAACCACAATTAAGTTGCGTCGCTCTGAGCCTCTGCGCCGTATCATGAAGCCGTATGAATCTAAGTTCAGGTCTGACCATCTTATTTGGACTCTCATGAATATTAGGAACGATTATGAGTTGGTTTTGGATTTTTTTGATTGGGCATGCATTCGTAGAGAACCCAACTTGGAGGCTCGATGCATTGTTGTTCAAATTGCCACTGCATCAAAGGATCTTAAAATGGCACATAGGCTTATTCTTGATTTTTGGAAAAAGCTGAATTTGGACATCAGTATTTCGTTCACTCATTTTTTGGAGCGGTTGATATACACATACAAGGACTGGGGTTCAGATCCCTACGTCTTTGATATTTTTTTCCAAGTCCTTGTTGAATCTGGGCTTCTCAATGAAGCAAGAAACCTGTTCAACAAATTGTTAAATTATGGACTGGTTATCTCGGTTGATTCTTGTAATTTATTTCTTGCTCGTCTAGCGAGGAGTCTTGGTGGAATTCAGATGGCAATAAAGATTTTCAATGAATATCCTGAAGTGGGTGTTCGCTGGAACACTGCATCGTATAATGTCATTATCCATTCTCTTTGTGAAATAGACAAAATAAAAGAAGCCCACCATCTTCTCGTGCAAATGGAATTGAGAGGCTGTATACCTGATGTTGTAAGTTATAGTACTATAATTAGCAGATATTGTCATGTCGGTGACCTACAGAAGGTGTTAAAGCTCATAGAAGAGATGAAAGTAAAAAGACTAAAGCCAAACGCATATACATATAGCAGCATAGTATTTCTGTTGTGCAAGACTGGAAAACTCTTTGAAGCTGAGAAGGTCTTGAGAGAGATGACGACCCAGGGAGTAATTCCTGATAATGTGGTCTACACTACCCTAATAGACGGTTTCTGTAAGTTGGGCAATGTTTCAGCTGCTTGTTGGCTGTTTGATGAGATGCAGAGAAGGAAAATAGATCCTGATTTTATAACATATACTACTATCATACATGGGTTTTGTCAGGCTGGAAAGATGGCTGAAGCTGATAAGCTCTTCGGTGAAATGGTTACAAAAGGGTTGGAACCGGATGAAGTTACTTATACAGCATTAATTGATGGTTATTGCAAGTCAGGTGAGGTTAAAAAGGCCTTTTCGATTCACAATGACATGGTTCAAATGGGACTTACACCAAATATTGTCACGTACACGGCGCTGGCTGATGGTCTTTGTAAACAAGGAGAGGTAGACACCGCAAATGAACTCCTTCAAGAAATGTGCTTGAAGGGTCTTCAACTGAATGTCTGCACTTACAACACAATTGTTAATGGTCTTTGTAAATTAGGAAATATCATAGAGGCAGAGAAATTGATGGAAGAAATGAAGGTGGCTGGACCGCATCCTGATACTTTTACATATACCACTCTCATGGACGCATATTGCAAGACGGGAAAGATGCCTAAAGCTTACAGGCTCTTGCAGGAGATGCTGGATGGTGGACTTCAACCTACAGTTGTTACATTCAATGTGCTGATGAATGGCTTTTGCATGTCAGGAATGCTTGAAGATGGTAATAAGCTACTTAAATGGATGTTGGAAAAGGGTATAATGCCTAATGCCACAACCTATAATTCTCTGATGAAGCAGTACTCCATCAGAAATAACATGCGTACCGCAACTGAGATTTATCGGGAAATGTGTTCAACAGGAGTGAGCCCTGATGACAATACCTATAACATTTTAATAAGGGGGCATTGTAAGGCAAGGAATATGAAAGAGGCAGAGTTTTTGCGCAGAGAAATGGTTGGGAAAGGATTTGCTCTTACGGCAAGTTCATACAATGCACTAATAAAGGGCTTTTACAAAAGAAAAAAAATTGTGGAAGCAAGGGAAGTATTTGAAGAAATGAGGAGACAAGGTTTGGTTGCAGAGAGAGAAATATACGACATTTTTGTTGACATGAACTATAAAGAAGGGAACATGGAGATTACTCTTGAACTTTGTGATGAAGTAATAGAAAATTGTCTTGTGGAAAGGACTAAGAACAAAGGCACCTAGATGGATTTATCTGTTCCACTATTGGAATTCCCCTCTATAGTCATTGTGATTTTTCGGGCGAAGTAGCCTGCATTGGTCCCCAAGACACAATCATCCAATGTACTCAAAACTCATGGTAATTTCTGTTTCAACATTGTATTCTATTATTTGGTTCATATAGTAATAATATCCATCTTACGCAAGTATTCTCCCTGTAACAAGTGTTCGATGATATGTTGTTGTATAATTAGTAATGATCATGAAAATGGTGAACTTGCTTTTTTTATGAAATCACAAGACACTTATGGGATCAGTAATGGAGTGTCGTTTCAAACTGTTATCGAGTCGAAAAATGCCAACATGAGCCTCAAGTTAAACTAACCAGGTTATGGGTTCTAACTTCTAATCTGCTATTGCCCAGGTGACCACCATTTGCCATCTTACTCTCTGGCTACCAGTTTTCTTCATTTTTTTGTGGAAGGGTAGATAAGGCGGAGCCCAAAAAGGACTGCATCTTAAAGGCGCATAATAGGACATCTCAAAGACAAGGTTTTCTAAGAGCAATACCACCAAAAGGACAAGCCATGTTTGTTAGGCAGTAGAAAGGCTGAGAGCAATACACCCATCACATAGGGAAAACTTTGAGGGTCGTTTAACAAATGTATTTAACCCATGATTTTGATTTTGTTACAATGTTTTTCTCTTACAAAGAATTTGATTCAAAAATTTCTTACTAATGGTTTTATCATAAAGTTCCCGTCAATGAATCAGAATCACTAACTTAAATATATGAACTAAACGGGCCTTGAGCAACAGCAGATAATATGACTTATATTTGTTTTGTTGACCAAATAATTTTTTGTTTTTGGCATTGACATTTTTACCACTCTCTCTTACGTAGGCTTTCTTCCAATTTTCTGATAGTAGAAACTCTTCAAATTATTGGAAGAACTCCTGAAAACATTGTGGAGTTTTTCCTAAGAAGAAGAAGCTTTGCCTACCTAAACGGTTCCAGGAGTTGCTTGGATATGCAATTCTCGAGTTTTTCTGTGGTAGAAATTCGTCACAAATTTTGTCCGGTATTTTTATTGTTCCTTTTATAATACAAATTTTCTGTTACGGATGTCATATAAATTCGACAAGTCGTTCAATTTTCATCAACGACGAGTTCTTTTATATACGGAACGTCATACTGTTAGAAAACCAAACGTTGTTTTCTTCTGTAATCAAGAGACGACATGTAATTTCATATGAAATTGTTCTTATTGTCGAGAATCAAGGCCTCGGTTGAAAACTAAGAACAGGTTGTTAGTACCTAACTACGTTTTTCCTAAAACCAAAAAAATATATATATATATATATATTTCTTTTAAACATAATGACATGCAGTTCAATTTCATATCTTTAATAACAACAACAAGCCTTAATCCTAAATTAATTGGTTAATTGAGATCAGTTATATAAATTTTACTTTTTCACGTAAATCTGTTTGAAATTAAATTTTCTTGAAGATCTAGATTTAGAATGTATTTCCTTACTACTTCGGTTCACGTAATTCTCGGTCTATCTCTCCCTCTCCTAGTATTAGGTATAAGAATGTCCTCTCAAATACGAATTGATGCTTCTAACGGTTTACGTTGGACATGCTCGTACTATCTCAAACGGTTTTCGCGAACTTTATCTTCTATTAGTGTTATACCTACTTTACTACGAATAACTTCATTCCTTATGCGATCTATTCTCGTACGACCACTCATACGTCTTAACATACGCATTTCCACCATACTTATCTTAAATATATATTGTCTCTTAATGACCCAATATTCACTACTATATAACATAACTGGACACAATAAATGAATTTTGATCCTCAAAATTTAAAACATCCCGTATCAAATTTCTGATCTACCAAATATTTCCGAATTAATCATTTTGTTAATTCCACTGTTGATATCTCAACAAGAAAATTTTAAACCCTTTTTTTCATTAGCAAATCAACTACAAAACTTAGCATGGGTTGAAACGGTGTTTGGTTCACCGTTTCAACCCAGTTCAGCTCATTTTGAGCAGCTGTAAAGTAAAAAAAAAGCGTTTGGTAATACTATTTGTTTAAACTGAATGTCTAATTTAACTTAAACTGAACTGTCTAAAATAGAGTTTAAGCCCCCTTTTCAGTTCTACTTTTCAAACTATTCTTCCACAATAACCCATTCACACAGTTTTCTCCACTCCGCTTTTGAGGTTACCTTTTTCTTTTTTCTAATCAGATTGATGTTGTGCTAAAGCGTGATGGCCCCCTTTCGATGCTAAGGACTTGTATTTATAATCCAGTATGGTATCGTAGCCCAAAAAAAAAAAAAAATAGTATGTATTATGAAAACTAAGAAAATGTAAAATTAAAAAGAAAAACTTTAGAGGAAAAAATTAGAGAGAGTTTCATTAATCTTATAAATGTATTTAAAATAAAGAATTTTTTAATACTATTCACGATTACTATTTACACAGTACTTATTATTTATGATTATTATTTTTACATTAAGATTCTGACATGAATAATAATTTTAACTAACTTGTATAGTAACTTTAACGGATATAGACATTTACTATTCATAGATAGTATTAATTTGCCACATTTTTTTCTCTTTTTTATCCTACTAATTAGTTATTGTAAAGAATTATATTTAATTCATTTTTTTATTTTCTTTAATATGTTTTTGGACAAGTTTTATTTTATGAAAAAAAATTTATCACGCTTCCAAAAACAAATATCATTTTCAACCTTGGAAAATTTATTAGCAATTAGGGTGGAAAAAAAAACCCAAGATGAGTTCAAATTACATTTCTCATGACTCATTTAAATACTGATTTAAATTTTATTTTTTGTTCAGAATAAAAGTTTAATTGCACATCTAAACACCAATTCGAGCTACTGTTTAAACTATATTATTTAAATTTTTAATTTAAATCAACATAATTCAAACTAACGAACGTCAACTTGACAGAATATTGGTATCTTGATATGGAAAAAAAGTCCTCATTTCCTTCTCCCTCTTCCATTTATAAGCATGAGTTAAAGGACTTCCTTTTGAATTGAGACCAATCGTTAGATCTTTGTATGTTCCTTTGGGCTGTATGATCTACGTGTCATGATTATTCTGGTTCGGCTTTGTTGATTCACTTAAAGTATCCACTAGGTAGGTTCTATAAAGCATCGAATCATACTTTGTCGTTTTACCAAATCAATTCTAATCCCCACGTTGCTTCTGTTACTAAAGAACCAAAAGGTCGTAGGTAGTTGAACAAACTACTAAAAAGTTCCAAGTATAAAGGATAATAAAATGAACTCAAATTACTAGCCAAAAACAAAAAAAAAAAAAAAACACTCAAACTAGGTAGGTACTATAAAGCATCGAATCATAGCATTAATGCCTAAGGAGACGTTTGTTTCTTATATTCGTCCCTGATTCTGAATTATGATTCATGGTTCTTTACAGTATTTTCTCTCATAAAAAATACACGTAAAACGAGAATGGTTCTGAATCATGATTCTGAATACATAAACTAAACGTCCTCTAAATCATGAACGTAAAGTTGGACTGAATTCAGGTTGTAGCATATGCATATATAGTTAAGGGCTTGTTTGTACATTTGGTAAGGGGATTCATACCATGATTTGAATCATGGTTCATTGTTCGCTATAATATTTTCTCTCACAAAAAATACACATAAATCGAAAATGGTTCTAATCTCATGATTCTAATCCATGAACCAAACGTCTTGTAAACTATTTTGCCCCATTCATTTTACCGATTCGAGTTCAGAATTTGAGTTTTGCTACAGTAAAAAGCTCTCAGAAACAGTCACATCTAACTTTTTTGTTACAGTTAAAAGCTCTCACATAAAGTCACATCTCAACTTGAATCAGCAAACTAAACAGGCCCTTTATCTGCTGGACTTTCTAAAATTCTTTTGCCTTTCATTGTAAGCCAAGAGGCAGAAGAAAACAAGGAGCCACCTACCCAAAGGCAGCAGACAAAAAAGAAGAGATAAATGGTGCGTTTAGAACTCGTTCAAAAATATTTTATTTTTTGTATGAAAATGAAAATGAAAATGAAAATATTTTCAATCTCAGATAGAAATTATTTTTAAAAATGTGTTTCGTAGTTTTATCAAAAGATTATTTTCAGTATAAAAAATCCATTAATGTCTCTCTCTCTGTGATCGAGAGAGAAAAAAAAAACATAAACAAAAAATAAAAAACAACTAAAAGTCATTTTTTCATTTTTCTCATATTTTACACTAAACTAAAAAATAGTTTTCATTTCCGTTTTTTATTTTTAATTGTGTTAAACGCCATTTCTCTTCTGTTTTCATTTTTTTTCTTAAAAAACATAAAAAATAAAAACAAAACTAACTTCAAACACGACGAAAAAAGCTTTGCAAGAACAACACTAATAGAGCAAACACCAGAAACTAAGGCAGCGGTCAAAATTAAAGCCTTTCTAAATTATTGTAATGTGCAACAGTTTACATTGCCACAAATTTAAACAATTTAGGGGTAAATTGATAAAATTATAAGTTGGAAAGGCAAGTTGTCGAATGCCGAAAAATTTTGTTGTGGGGTTGCTCTAAAATTAAGAATATTTTGGCTACGTTTCTTACACGACATGTTGAAATGCTGTTCAATTACGTGCATGATAAGAAGCACGCCGTGTGGTTAAAATAATCATAAAACCGTAGGGCAACAGAAAATATGCAGAATTTAGATTATAATAAAGAATTATTAATACAAGAAACTTGGTGGTGATTATGTTTATGTATTGCCTAAATTTTTATTATTAATGTGACGTTTGTTTCAATAATTTTATTTAATTTAAGATTATAATTTTTAATTTTATTACAGTATTTTTTTCAAAACAAATTAAATTTTTAAAATTAAAATCATAATTTTAAACTCATTAATTCAACCTCACTTAAATTGAGTAAAAGTCAAAGCAAAAGGCACCACTAGTTTAATAGTAGAATAGTACCCTGTCACGGTACAGCCGGGTTCGATTCTCGGCTGGTGCAATTTAATTTTTTAATGTTTTTGCTTTTTTTATCTGAATCCTTTTTCTCCCATCTTCGCTCTTTCTTATATGAATATCAACCGGATATATAGTATAGAAAAAGGAGAAAAAAAGCTATATAATTTCTAAATTCTATAGAAATATGAAGAAGATAGATATGGGCCATGTGATTCTATGAAGCTTCTTTCTTTTGAGAGAGAGAGAAATGGATACATAAAACAAAACAAAACAAAAAAGAAAAAAAAGGAGGGGAAATGAATAAACCCGGCAGGGGGTTGAAAAATATAAAGAAATGAAAAGTAAAATATCAAAAGAAATGGATATGGGCCATATGCATCCATCTATGAAGCTGCTTCTTCATAGAGAGAGAAAGAGAAGAGATTCCATTAAAAAATAAGGAAGATACATAAAGCTGAAAAAAAAAAAAAAAAAAGGAGAAAATGGTTAAACTTCTAACTATGTTTGATAGTAGGGATGAAAATATTAAGGAAGCAAAAGTAAAATATCAAGCGAAGGAAATAAAAAAGGTGGAAGGACGATTTTCTTTTTTGGCAGAAGAAAAGGAAAAAAGGACAAAAAAAAAACAATCTAGTATATTTTTACAATCACACTCTTATACAAAATAGTCAAAGAAAAATGTCTTTGTTTGGTAGAATAAAAGAAAATGACTCGTGCCATTAACCCTTTGACTACTTATGTATGTATGTATGTAAGTGGAGCAGACCCAACTCTTCAAATATCCTTTCTTGTACGGGACAATAATTTTAAGCCCACACAATCGCACGAATCATATTGCTCCACCGGTGAAAATGGCGTATTTATCGTTAAAATTAATTTCTTAATAGTTAAACCTTTTAAATTCGTATTAAAAATTTATAATTATACGTAACTATTTTTATTACAAATATAAACGTTAAAAAATTAATAATAAATACACAATTTTCACAAATACAAGAAAAAGATTTACTCCATAAAGTTTCACTTCTTATTTTATTTTATTTTATTTTATTTTCCTCTCAAAATTAGCTGCCACTTAAATAAAAACCGACCTACCTCCTATCTATCAATCTTCCACGTTTTCTATCCGCTCCCCAATACTTCCACCCACCAACTGTATCTCGTACGTGTCTTGTTCACCACCGGCCATATTTTCCACAGGCACACGTTTACTGGTCAAACACACCCGCATTGCCTTTGGCCTATTTATTTTCGGCTCATCTTTCTTCTCTCCACAATATTAATCATTATTTATTACTCACAAAAAGCAGTCCTATAAAAAAAAAAAGAAGAAAAAGCTCCCATTTTTGTGGCCTAACTAAACTAAACTAAACTATGGCTGAGAGTGATTTGGCTCTTATCGGAGCATGGCAGAGCCCCTTTGTGCTGAGGGCTCGGGTGGCTCTGAACATCAAGAACTTGCAGTACGTGTTTCATGAAGAGACGTTTGGGAACAAGAGCGAGCTTCTTCTCAAGTCGAACCCGGTCCACAAGAAAATCCCAGTTCTCCTTCATTCTGGGAAATCCATCTGTGAATCTCTCATCATTGTCGAGTACATCGATGAGGTTTGGTCCTCTTCCGGTCACGCCATTCTCCCTTCTGATCCTTATGGCCGAGCCATTGCTCGCTTCTGGGCTGCCTACATTGATGAGAAGGTAATGCATTATTCTTGCTTGTTCTGCTTTTCTTTTTTTTTTTTTTTTTGCTGATGCTTGTTTGTTATATCTTTCTTTCGTAATTATTTCGTTAATTTCACTGATTTAAATTTTATATAGATGAATAATTTTGTGAATCATATGCTTCAAAGTGAACTAAACTCGATTAATATAGTCGTTTATTGTTTTAGTAAAAACAATTTGGTTTAATTTCTGCCCTCCTGAAAAAAAATGGCTTCGCCACTGTTGTGCTTCTAGAATGATTTTGTTGTTGTTTTATACTCTAGATGGATTCTTTCAGTTCGGAATAATGGAATATAATAGAGATTTGTTGATAGTTCCAAAAAAATAAAAGTAAATAAATGAATAAATAAATAGATGGTCTTGTGAAGTGTTACATGTTAAAAAAAACAAAAAAAAACAAAATAAATTTTTAAAGTTTCATTGTCAATATCGAGCTATTTTAGTTTTTAGATTTATTTTTATGGTATGAACTATTGGTAAGAGTAATTATATGTGGTGTGTTGCAAATTTTTAACGTAAAACAGTTAAAAAAATTAAACCAACCGTTCAAACAACAATTTTCTAAGATAATTTGTACCGTAGAAATTCTCCAAAATAAGTCGTCACAATGCTAGTCTTGAGCAAGATCTGCACTTTTCATTGAAACAAACGACAAAAGATCAGAGTGTCGGTAAAAGTAAGCCTTATTTTTAAACTTATAGCCTAATTGATGATGAACAAATCTTAAGTTTAATTAGTGACGTATCATAATTTAAATCATGATTCATAATTTATTATAATATTTTTTTAAAAAAAAATACATAAATTAAGAATAATTTTAAATTATAATTATAAATTTATGAACTAAACATTCACTTAATTATCATTTCCTTGTAAGTAAAGTTTTTCCCATCCTTGAGAAGCATTGCGGTGGTACAAGACGAGGCAGGAAAGAAAGCGGCTGTGGAGCAGGTCATAACGGGAATATCACTCTTGGAGAAAGCCTTTGGTGAATCAAGCAAAGGAAAGCCTTTCTTTGGTGGGGACCACATTGGGTACCTTGACATTGCATTTGGGGGCATGTTGGGCTGGATCAAGGTCACGGAGACAATAGCTGGGCTCAAGCTGATTGACCCAGAAACGACACCCCAGTTGGCCCAATGGGCCGAGAAGTTCATTCACGACCCTGCTGTGAGTGGTGTTTTCCCTGACATTGGGACGCTCACCGAGTATTCTAAAGTTGTCATCGCCAAGCTCAGGGGATCAGCGGGTGCTAAATAGATTGATTTGTCGGGTGTTTTTCAATCTAAAAGTGGTTTATGCGAAAAAAAATTTGGTTGTGTGATTGTGGTTGAGGAATAAATTTGACTATTTGAGTTGCATTGCGTTTTGTCGTTTACGATAGATTTCTTGTGTTTTGCTATGTATGTTTGGTAAGGAGGATGAAAAAAAGGAAAAAAAGAAGGATGGATTACTTGTCTAATTAAATTTTTTATTTTTAGAAATAAAGAGACATGCAAAGCATATTCCTTTAAAATAAGTATCTAGTAAAAAAAAAATAAGTAGAAACAAACATTAAATCGAAAAAATGAATTAAAAAATGAGAGAAATAGTTGATCTAAAAAAAACATAATGAAGGGTATAATTGTGATTTAATGCACATAGTATTAGTACTACTTTCTTTCTTTTTCTTCTTTGGACTTTTACTACACCTCCTTCCTTTCTTTTCTTCCCTAGATTTTCTTGTTATTATTAAATTTTAAGACAAGATACACCTTCAAAAAAAAAAAGTAAGATAAGATCTTACCCAGATTTCCTACCATCTTAATTTGGACGTTACTTGGACATGAGAATCATTAATCTAACGTATTATTATTCATCTCTTTTGCAAGCATTTAAAGTAGACATCATATTTGTCGCATAATATAATAAGAAAGTTTTTCCGGTAAGATTAAGGAAAAAAAAATATTAGTAGTCTTTTATTTTTCAGTTGTCAGATCTGTATTAAAAACTGTATATTCTACATATTTTTTTCAATCTGATATGATTTTAACCGGATGTAACGATCAAAAACTGACCATATTATAGGGAGGCAAACTGAAAAAAAATCTCACATAATAATACCTTATTTGACACGCCTATTGTTAGATAAACCATGTCAATATGAGGCAAAGCGATAAAAGTAATTCATCTTAAACCACAAAGCCCTCTCATACAAAAAGGTGCCTATTTCCCATGTCAAATGCGGAACAGAAAGCAATATGCCTCTTTCACCACTTGTTTTTAAAGAGTTTTTCTCATACGGCCTCTTTATCGGTGCATATCAGTTTATTAAAAAAAAAGTTATTGGCACAAATGGTTCTTAACTTATTTAGTAAGTGACAGTTTGGTTCTCAACTTTTTTTTTTGAAAAATTGACCCCTAACCTTTTAAAACATGTGCAATCTAGTACTTTCCGTCAAGATCCGTCCAAAAGCTAACGGCTCAATGCACGTGACCACCCACGTGAGCCAAATTATTGGTGGAAAGATGAAATTGCCCGCTTGAACTCTTCTTTTATTCTTATGCGAGCCAAGCCTCTCAACGATCGTCCGAATTTTTTTGAAGCAATCTCCTTTGCATCCGAATTCGATGAGTAGTAACAACAACAATAATAATTTGGATAATCTTTCCAATCAACAGAAGTTCAAGAGACCGAAGTTGAGGGTTTCGATCAATTTGCCAGATAACGAGATTTCTCTGCTACGGAATCGACAATTGAGCTTCTCCGAGGATGGAAAGGTGTGTTCATCGTCTATCAACTGATTTCTCAGAGGAAAAGCTCCATTAAGATTGAGTGTGAGCTTTTTTTCTAATATTGGGAGTGGAAAAAAACAAAAACAAAAAAGAATAAAAGAAGAGTTCAAGCGGGCAATTTCGTCTTTCCACCAACAATTTGGGTCATGTGGGTGGTCACGTGCATTGGGCCGTTAGCTTTTAGACGGATCTTGACGGAAAGGACCATATTATGCCTGTTTTTAAAAGGTTGGAGGTCGATGTGCCAAAAAAAATGTTGAGGACTAAACTGTCACTTACTAAATAAGTTGGGAACCATTTGTGCCAATAACTTAAAAAACACACACATAAATATCACTTAAGATTTTAAAAAAGTATTATTTATATAACTCCACTAAAAATAAATAATTATCATAATTAATAAAAAAAAATTATAATGACACTAAATTATTTAAAATAATTTTCTCAATTTCTCTTGTAGGTAACAAAAGATTCTATTATGCGATTGCTTTACCGCCTATCAAAGAAGACGATCCTTTGCAGTGTAGAATTTTGGGCTCTTTTGAAAGCCTGTCATTGTTGTTGTTGGTGGAAAGCAAGGCATGAACTTTGTCCACTATGAGACTGTTGTTTGGTGTCATGTAGCAAACAACTTCAAGAAACGGAGAGAACATTATCTATTCAAAAATATTTTGGGGATGTTTGTTTCATGTATTCGTCTCTGATTCTAAATTATGATTCATGATTTTCTACAGTGTTTTTCTCTCACAAAAAAACACACTTAAAACGAGAATGATTCTGAATTATAGTTCTGAATCCATGAACCAAACGTCTCCTTTATTTTGCTGAATTAAGCTGTGAGATAAGTCTTGGGCATCGATCAAAGTCTTTAAAGATAAAAGACTTGTTCATTTACACTCAATTTAAAAAAAAAATTGAATTTAAATTATACTTTTAAGTACATTTTTTTGTGTAAAATTTGAGTTTGAACTTGAATTTGTGGTTAAAATCTGAGTTCAAATTCACCCTTTAACTCAAATTCAAGTTAATGAACAATATTTTTTCTATTCTCAAAAACGTCATAACTTGTTCATTTTAATTCCGATTGAGATGATTTTTTTTCTATGCGTTCACAACGAAAAGATGAATAAAACATGTGACACCCCTTATACCATCTCTTTTAAAGTCTTACTTACTATTAATCCTACAGATGTGCCACAATAACTAACCTTCACTTTTCACTTATGTGGAATTTATGGTGTTTCAAAATTTTTGCTTAAATAAGATTTCGTTAATACACCATTCTTATCAGGTTTTTTGGCCATAATTATAATTATACAGTCATCCAAGGTTTATGAGTTTAACCCCAAAACATACATATTTACAAATCGAAAATAATACGCGTGCAGCTTCTTCGGTTTGACCATATGCACAGCGGTCAATGAAGCCAACTCCCCTTCCTACTGTTCTGCCTTGTTCTTACCTTTGCCTACAACACAGAGTAAACTTTAATGAGCTACATGCTTAGTAAGTAGAGCTACAATTGCACCATCTCATTTTAACATACGCATGCATCACAACATCCTAGATAACTTATGCTAATCAATTTTTACACTTTATGCACGTGCACTATATATCTCTAAGGCCCTCCCGGTACTGCCGCTGATTTTTTCACAATCTGACCGCATGCCAATTTCTCAAATCACAACATCAAGTTCCCTATCATCACCCACCTGGCTCGAGGGAACGACCAGCGCATTCAAAATCACAATTTCACAATATAGTCTCTGTCATCACCCGCCTGGCTTGAGAGACTTGTGCGGCTCAATCATAATTTCATCAATCACCATATCACAACAGGAGTCCTTTGAGGAATTGGCAGTACCGGTCTATCATGTATGCTATTATGTGCTCAATCACAAGCAATTTAACATTCAGCGTGATGTCTACTCTATGTACAATATACTAGCACAAGCATGCCTTCACAAAACATACACATTAACAATGTCGTAAAAATTCACATAATAGCATTCTAGACAATAGACATTCCATAGAAAGTCTATCAAACAAAGTTTACAAGTGCTGCAGAGAAATCATACTCTATACCTGAATTGCTTAGCAAAATCTGAGTTTAAATCTCTTCACTTCCCCTGTCATTTTCCTTTCTACTGTCCCAAATAAACAACTTGGCCATCATTATTAAAGCTCAATAGCTCAGCAATAAATCAATCTCTAACTCCTAATCATATTCCCCTGAAAACTGTAAATTGGAAGATTCATCAATCCTGACGGAAAAATTCATAAAATATTTTTTATGTCCTTAAAAATTCCAAAATCAACTTTAAAACAAAGTAGACATGTATATCTTTCCAACGAGCTATCATACGCTTAAATCCGACCTCTCTACATACCTCAATAATAGTTCTCAAGAAATCAAAATTCTGGTTTTTCTGTTTTTGACAGCTTTTAGAAAATTTCTACATGAAACTTCATACGCGCATAACTCGGGCTACAAAACTCCAAATTAGGTGATTTCAACTCTCACACATCACTAATAACGTGTTCTAAATGGTAGCAAAGGTGAGTTAGGTGCAACAATCATATTTCAAAAAGTGAGAGCCTTAGTTCTTTATTTTATCAATTTCAGGAAATGACAGCTTTGACGACTGCTACAAGAATATTCACAAATTATTCTATGTAGCCTCAAAAATTACAAAATCAGTGCCTAATTGAAATAGATATCTAGGGATTTCTAAAAAACTATCATAAGCTTAGTTTTGGACTAATTAATGCCTCCAATAACATGTCACACCAGATCAAAACGTGCTGATTTTTCTGCAAAATTTTCAGAAATCATGTTCAACTTTAAAAATGCATAATTTGAGCTATAGTTGTTCGATTGAAGTGATTCTGGCGGCTATGTGTAGCTTAGGATGTCTATTTTATGGATCTATAAACATCAGGACCAGAATCTACGTGAGAAATAACAGTTTTCAGTTCTTCTTTGACAGCCACTAACGTGGTCCTCTAATCTTACAATTTTGCACATAACCTCAACATATAAAATTTCTCATTCCTGTCCAGCCCAAACTCTTATTTTTACACATCAATATTGTGATGATTTCTGATCCTAACACCATACTATTAGCACCAAGATTCATCCTTACTCACTAAACCTAGAAAATACTACGAACATAACCAAAATCCACATAATACAAAAACCTCTTAAAGAAAATTCGGACTAACATGTCTCTAATCAAACTTTAACTTAACTTTAAGAAGGGAAAAATTCAAAGGTTTATGATTCTAACAAAATAATCATCATTTAACATGAAACCCAAGCAATCAAACCACAAAATAACCAATTTTTGAATTTAAAAGAACAAGGGAGAAAACTCTACCTTGAACCCTAGCTCCAATCAATCCTCTAATTCAATAAGTTGCTGCAGTCCTTTGTGGAAGAAGAGGAATGAATCAAAGAAAAGAGAAAAATGTAGAGATAGAGAGGAAGAGAGACGTGAAAAGAGTTTAGAGAGAAAATGAGATAGAGAAGTAAGCATAATTTTTTTTTTCTTCTTATAAGGCTCTAGCCTCTCAATGTGGCTAAAGAAAAAAAAATAGTGGCTTGGCTGAAGTTCCAGCCATGCCAAGTGAAAGGGCAGTTGGCACTTTTTTTTTCTAATATTACAATTTGGCCATTAAATATGA